AGAGCTTTCTGTTTACAGCCAAAATCATAACTAAATAATCTTCGGAACCTTTTCTTTGAATTTGCGGGTCAAAAAAAAAATGTCTAAAGGCTTTTAAACCTGATACTATTGTAGCTAGATCATTGCTCGTGTTTTAACTTAAGCCGCATAAACCATACGCTCGACTTCTGGAAACCGAAAAAAAAAAATCAAAAACAATAATGGCTCAAGCTTACCAGTCGAGATGCTGCTTCTGAAGGTCATCAAGTGTTCCAGAATCGCTTGAGACTTTTCAACCTTCTTACGCCTCAAGCAAAGGCAAGTGAGTAAGCTCATTTTTGAAAACGATGCCATCCGAAATCGGATTTCCAATGACTTTGACAAGCGGTGCTTTTGTCAACAAAAAGCGCAATAAACAAACCAGCCACGAATTACAGAACAATCTTGATAGCAGCTATATTTCATTTTGTACACCAAGTAGAAAAAGACAGTTTAAAACATCACAAGATGACACAGAACTCTCTCAGCTCCAGCTATCAGTAAGCAAGTTTCCAGACGCTGCAAAAATTTTCCGCATAAACTCACCTCTCAAATTTTGACCAATCAGAACAGTAAAATTGGACGTAGAGCGTGATCAACGCGTGACAGTGAGAAAAGTCAAAAGCGATTGCCTTCCCTGCATGTAAATGTAAAAGCCGGTTGAATTTTCGTGTCCGAGATCAGTTCGAAATCAACATTTTAAAAATGCGGCTCATGAAACACGACTTATTTCATATGCATTTTAAATTGAACTTGAGCCTGCAATCATTTGAAAAGTAGCGACTTGTCAGCGAATACCTTCAAAATATTACTCGAACTCAGAGGGTCGATACCTGAGCCCGCGATACGTTCAGGCGATACTGGTCAGCAGAAACACTGTTTTGACAGCTGTCAATTAATCAAAACATGGATGTACAATATCAGGTTGCAGGCTCCCAAACTAGCTAGAAAGTGTGAGATTAAACATTGGTATGCCTGTGGTGCGGACGGACGGAGGGTCGGGTGGTCGGTGTACGGTCACGTGATTGCCGAATTTTCTAGGATGGATAGATTTTCTATAAAGCTATCGGGCTTCGAATTGAGCCCGTGATCAAATAAAATATCAGCGCAAAACTTTAAACACTACGTGACCTCAATAGATAGAAAAATGAGCCCGCAGGTGATGAGACAAGTCCCAACCTTCATTAGAATGGCGAATATTCCCAGACTACAAGTTTCCTCCGATTGGGACTTGTCTCTGAGCGAACCTGAGCCCTCGTCCAATTTTGACAGCTGATTTTTTTGGCCTGCCAATGGACTGTCATTTGCTCGGCGTAGTTTCGTTTTCAAATTGGTACATATTATATCCTAAAATATCCAAAAATGGGAATCAGTTATTTTTTCCAGTGAATTGCAAAAGGCAGTTCTGAATAATCGCGTAGGTGCTCTTCCCAGTTAATATGACAAAATTTCAGAAACGAGAAGGGAATTGGAACCGAAAAGTATCCCGCAATTGCTTATGGGATCGTTAATGGTGACGCGCTTGACAGCCATTGGTTAATTTGTTTCCCTGTCCCTTTTAACAGTCCCAGAAGTCTTTGCAAAAGTTACCTCGGCCCAGTTTCCTAAGTGGATGCAGATGTCTCGTCATGTGCAAATTGGGCTGAAAAAGCAAGTTTTGCAAATTTTGTTTGCAAGTTTGTGGCTCATTAAAACTTAGCACTATATTTGACCAATAAATGAACATTCAAGACCATGGCAGTCGCTGATTGTGTGGAAATATCTTTTGAGGCTTGTATATGGGTAAGCTTTTTATATTGGATTAGCCTTTTTTGGGTTTCGAATTTGGGTGGGGTGTATTTGAAGGGGCATATTTTTGGACTTTCACCTTGGTTATGTTGCATCAGCCTCTCCTTTGCGCGTTATATGTGTAAACTTAGTAAAGGTGACTCTACCTGCCCAAGTAGATGTCACTGAAAGGCGGGATCGGGCCACCTTAAACTCATGGCTTTACTATGGAGGTCAATTAGCCTGCATGACAGCTGCTTTATGAGCAAAAAACGAGACATTTCGCAAAAAGTGTGAGTCAAAGGTAGGGGGAAAAAAGAAAGTCCTCGTCTCTCGCTTTGCGCGAAATGCCTCGTTCCCCAACACCCTTTCACCAGTGTTTCATCGCGTTTTCTTCTCTCTAGGTGAAGAAGCATCCAGAGAGCACGATTCTGGCCTGTCTTTTCGTTTTAATGGCATTACTAATAGCCATTAATAGCAGTACTTTGATGTCGTTTTGTCCTATCCAAGAGGGGAATGAAGTTGGATAAACTGCTGGGGACTGGTATTGAAAAAAATCCTTATACGGGGAGGCTCCGCCCCGAAGGCCAACTCCTTATCCTTTTATATGCCATTATTGATAGAAAAGGTGTCCCTTTCGTATACCGGCTTCCATTGACAAATGGTACCGCTTTCACAAACTTACCTTAGAACTTTGTATACCTTTTAACTGCTGTACTCATGCACTGTCTTTACCCTTTCATATTGCGGACGCCTGAGAAAGGAACCACTTTCTGGCGGAGCCTCCCGGTACAGGCCATCGTGGGGAGTATCCCCCTCCCTTGGGCCTTCTAAGAGAGGACAACAGAGTGAAAAGTGGTTAAAGCAGAAGGGGTGATTCTCTATATTCTCGCATCTCTTTCTTATTCAAATCTACTCAGGGCCCAGTTGAGCAAGGGCCAATTAGCACACGCCCACCACGTCACGTCATATGCGCATTTTTTGTGCAGTGCAACCTGTTGCACAAGGTTATCTTGTAATTCGGATGATGCAGATCTTGCTTCTTCATTGGTTCACTGACCTCGGGTTATTCATTCAAAATATTAATCCTTTAATTATTTATAACTGATTAGCCTTGACCAACTTTGGAAGACGTTTGCGAAATCCAGAACCAATGACGACAATGTTACAATATATCAACAGCAAACGTAACGGCCCTGGGACGAGGTTGCCTTAGCTCAGATGTTTTGGTAGAGCTTAAGGTACAACTGGAGAAAGCAGCGGAAAATTCCACACGTTTTACAAAAAAGAAATTAATACGGGTGGCAAGACGCCTTGCCGCTCGTTTGGGGGGGAGGTAAAGAGACAGATGACATTTCAGAGTACAGATCTGCCATACGAAAGCCAAATTCAATAAATTGCTAATCATGATACTTTTACACGCGTGGAGACTGGATCAAGAGCGCAAATGAAGGAGGTGAAACGGAAGATAATCTCACTTCGAAGGGGAAAGTCCTTTCATTGGCTGAGCCGACGCTGTGCCAATCTAATTGTCTTATTAGGGCCATTTATATGAGGAAAAATAAGACGCGTCTTAAATAAGACGTGAACTTTCCGTATAAATGGCACATTTCGTCGAAAATAAGACGCGACTTAGCTAAGACGCGTCTTATTTTAGAACAGCCCTTAACACCTGTTCTTAGATAAGACGCGTCTTAGCTAAAACGAGAAAAACTTGGTATAAATGACCTTCGCGTCTTGCATAAGACGCGAACGCATAGTACGCATGCGTTAATTTTTGGAGGGAAAATTTTCGCTTGCCCCACGGCGGACTGGCAGGGAAAAGCTGTTTACAAATCGCAACGTGTTTTCGTTTCCTTGGGTTGCCAAGGACTCCAAGACTTTTAAGCTTTATTTGTTTTTTCGCTCAAGTATAATGAGCTTGAAGTAAGCAACAAATTCCGCCTCCGTCATCTCTTTGAAGTCACGCTCAAACCACTCAGTCGATCTCCTTCTCGGACTCCTTCTGAAATTTTCCAAGAGAGCATTGTTTTTTATATAATTCTGCGGCAAATGAGGGTTTTTGTCATAAGAGAAGATTCCCCCATTTTCATTAAAGAGGTCTTCAAAATATTGCCTCTGCGGTAAATCGGAACATGACGCCGTAACTTTGAAACGCGCGACATGTTGGATTGCCGTTACTAGGGGCAACATTCACATGAAAACGAGTCAAGAACAGAAATAAGACGTGAACCATTTATACGAGCTGTTTTCGTCTTAGATAAGACATGCTCGTAAAAATGATACAGTTCGCGTCTTATTTTTCCCCGTATAAATGACCCTATTGTGCGAAAGGACCTCGACTTTAAATGATTTAGAATATGGCACTATTCATAACACTCGTACGTGCACGAGGGTATAGCAGGACTATAAATACAGGATTGGAGCAAAACACTCCTTTCTAGCTTAGTTTTCAGCCAGCAGAGAAGTCAAGAAGGGATCGGCCCACCCGCCCACCCCATTTGTCTACACAAAATTCGCGTGCAGGGTCTTTCAACACTGCTCCCCAAAGCCAAGCTGTTCCAGCCTGGATTAGACCGCTGAGCAATATTATGTCCATATCTTATTTCAACTGAGCATGAATGAGAGTGTTGTGGAATAGATTACTTTTCTTATTATTCCTTAGTTATGTTGAATATAATTTCTCATTCACTAATGAAAGAATTGCTTTTTCTAGTTTTATACAGGTACGAGCATATAAAAAAGTATTGCAGTATTATAATCTATGATACTAATATTTATACAGCATTACCGCCTCAGTTTTTAAAACAATCTTCTGTCTGTACACGCCCTATTTTCAGTTAAGAAACTATAACCTTGAATGAAACATACAATCCCTGTATTCTACATTTTACACCTTAATGTTCACAACAGCAATTAAAAAAACTGTTCTTTCTTATATTAAAAACGTCACTGCTTTGTGGACTGCATTACATTACAAGCCCGCTTATTCTTTTTTATATTGTCCTCCTTACTCTGCTGGATCTACTCAACTGAAAGAAATTGCCTTGTTCGAGCTCTTTTGCTTAACGGTGACAATCTCCGCCATTCCTCGGTGTGGAATCGTGAGGTTTCCCTGACGCCCTATGATGTAAAACTTTCAGAATGTTGTCGGAGAGCCGAAGTCCCTGGAGAAAATCTTTCTGGCGCTGTTGTGAGTCGAAACGCCTTGTAGGTTAGACAGTTCTAGTTCGCCGACGTTTCCTTTGTTTTATCTTATTGACGATTATTCTTGCGAGTAAATCACAGAACTCTAGCACTGTAAGGATGCTAGCTCCAAGAAATAATCCAACTTGACCTCCAATGTCACCTAGCAAGATAACAAAAAAAAAATTTTGTTCCCGTGGGGGCTACTCAACAAAGCTTTTTAGGGGAGGCTCCGCCCCGAGGTTCAAGCTCTTACCCTTTTAAAGTATGCCATTTCAAGCCGATAAGGTACGCCTTTCGTATACCTTCTATCGTCAATTGGCACCTTTTCACATACTTAGTTCAGGACTTCGTATCCCTTAAAACTGCTGTTAATGCACTGCCTTTAAAATGTGAAAAAACGATAAAACCAGAAAGCTTTTTGGACTTTTTTACAGCCATAAAATGTACCTGTTAGCTCTTTTGGGCCTTTTTACAGACCAAAATGGCAAAATTTCTCACACTTTCATAAACGTCACCCAGTGAAACCCCTATCCCTTCTTAGTATATACTAAAACAGTGGATAGTGTTTTTCGCGCGCTCTGATTGGCTACTTAATCAGTGAATATCCTGCACTATTCACTGATTCACCTCCAGTTCCTCCGAGCGAGCGACGCCAAACTTACGTAAGTTGCGAGCAAAATGCCTTCCCGGTTTGCTGCCGTAACAAACTAAGAAATTTCACAACTAATCAAGCAAGCTATACCCAAAATACATGAAGAAGGTGACGAAGTTCGGTTTGGAAGTTTTAACAGGTAAAGCTTTGTCTTTTTGACTTGAATTTATCGATAAAACCGGTGAAAAAGTTTTTTGTTTACAAATGCAAATTAAGCTTAAGTCTTGCGTTACTTCATTTAGTTGACTCGTTCATAAACAAGCTTAAAACTAAATGTAATAATCTTTTTTACAGAATGATTTTAAATACAAAAAGAATTCATAACTCCTTTTGAAGAAACTTCCCCGCAAGAGCTAAACAAACGCCTTCAAAACTTTTCTTTGTCCCCAAGAAAAAGCGACGACCACGGCCGTTCGGTCATCGCGCGCCAAAATTGTTATCGTTGGCAACAGTAAATGAGTTAAAAATCATCATTTTTCTGCTCAATTATCTTACTGTTTTAGTATATACTAAAACAATTATTCACCTCAGTGTCGGTGGCTAATAGTGGTTATTTACCTCGCCGCTTCGCGGCCTCGGTCTATATTAACTACTAGCCACCTCCACTATATACCTGAAGCCTGAGAAAGGTACCCCTTTCGGGCGGAGCCTTCGCTATAGACTATTATAGGGAGTACCTCCCTGATGCAAATTCGGAAGTGAGATGTGCAACACTTGTCAAACTTTCCCAAAACTTCTACGACGAAAGATGAGGATCAAAGAAGATTAATTTACATACGATTTAACGAGATTCTTTATAAGGTCACTATAATTCGTTTGACATGCAAGGGTCACGAGTTTCTCAAGAGGCCTAAACCATCATCAAATGTGATTAAAAAAGAATGAAACTCACTCAAACAGTTTAATAACATAATCTGCTATGTGAGCTGAACATCCCATTATTACGGACAAAAAAAAAAGTACCAGCGGGAAAATATAGTATTTCGGAGTAATATAATTGGTTGCGCATTTATATCTTTTTAATAATTCTTAATACCGTATAGTTGATTCATTCTGCAGGATAAATAAAGTTTTATTTATTAATTAGTTATCAAATATGAATTACTGAAACAACAACCGTTTTCAGGAACGCTGGCATTTGAATTCAACAAATTCCTGGCCTCGAATTTCTTTGAAGAAAATTCTAGTCGGACATTTTCATTCTCAGACAATTTTTCGTTTTCTCTCCAGTTATGGAAACTTTGTAAATCACTGCAAATTCAGTAACACATTCAATAACGAGGCAATGCATCTTCAACTACCTTCGTTATTTTTAGCTAAAGCATATAATGCAGCAATCATTTCAGTGTTTATGTTACTTACCAAACAAGCTTTCCTGGTCATATGCTTGTCGCTGGGTGATCAACGTAACTTGCATCTCCTCGAAGTACACATCAAGCTCAAGAAAGTTGTCCCTGATGAATGATATACAACTACACAGTTTACTAGTCTTTAAAAATTTCATTTGACCAATAAAGGGCCCTTTCATCTTGCCATACACGTTGTACAAAACCTCCATGCTGGAGAGCAAGAAAATCACTTGGAGAAGACAAACAATTAAAATAACCACTTTTATGGTTAAGTCTTTTCTTGTCTTGTCCTAATGTCTAACTTGTTCTCCAATATGGCAGTTTTGTACCACGTAATTGACTTGCTGAAAAGGGCCTATTAAAAATAATTGAATATATTGAATAAATGGAGGGTGCTCTCTGAGAAGGTGAGAGTAGAGAGGCAACGCCTCTTCGCTTCTGACAGTGTTCAAGTTACTCGAACAGTCAGAATCTTTCATTTGTCTCGCCGTTTCCGTAAGATTCTCTGCTAACATTATGCCTGATCGCAAGTTAGATTTGCAGATTCTTGACAAAATGATGATGAGAAAATTTCAAATAGTTAAGATGCTCAATTAGATCGAGGACGAATAAAAACGCCGTTTTTGCTGTCAGCAAACTAAAAAAAAAACTAGATGAGGCATATCTTTGACGGAAGAGGAAAATGACTATCTCGAACTATCAGTTGATGATAATGGTGCTATTTGGCTCAATTCAAGCTCTTTCTTTTTAATTTCTCTCACTCTTCATTTCTTAAAAGCTCAAAGGATCCTTTTTAAAATTATTCTAACTTGATTCTTGTATAAATGTTGGCAATCCCAGGCTTCAAATAAGGCGGGGCGGTTTTAGTAATTTGAGAGGATTGCGGTTGTCCACATTTTTTCATTTTGTTGTTTGTAATAATCTCCTCTCGTTATAACTCGCCCTTCTTCACAGTGCAACTCGTCAACATTAGCGCAAAAAAATACTAGCTTGTAAATTGCAAAATAAATGGGCAAACAAATGTGTCTCTCAAACACCAATTCATTGGAGTCACAAACAATAGAGATAAATTGAAAGAGCTAAACATTACTTTGAAAGTTAAAAAGTATTCAAAAGCGCTGGGCACAATCCATTTTTCTCTTCTTCAGAGTTTGTTCTTCCTTGAAATTTGTGTACTGCGCCCACTTGCCTTCTAAATTACATCACAGTCGCACAACTCTTTCAAGTGCTCAGTCCAAGTGATGGAAAAGCAAAAAAAAAAAACCAAATCCGTCTTTCAGGAGTTATCCTCACCTGAGATAATGTCTCATGACGTCTTTCCTAACGTGCTTTCTACGCGCTAAAACCTCCGAGAAATGTTTGGCAGGAGTCTGGGCATAGCTTAGCTGAACCTGGTACTTGGTTATCTCACACGGCACTGGACACTCGCAATTGTTGCTTTCGTTACGAAATATTTCTAAAGTTTGGTTGAAGAGAGAGGACAAAGTTATCTTTCTGCATTTACGTTCTAAGTCTACAGGGGATATTCTGCATGTTTACTACATTTATTTTAGGCATTTATTTATATCTAGTTATTTGATTAATCCGGCACAATTCCGTTTGATTTTCATGTGTTGTCGTTTTCCCCGTTCTAAGAATTGGCGGTATTCATGGATTCAGATTCCTTTGGCGTTAAAATGTGTATTTTCCAAGCTATTGTTTTTATTGTAATTTTCAAGTTTCATATTGTATTAGAACTGCGGAACTGTACTGTTATACTCAGAGGTGAAACTTCATGATCCAGTACTTACCCATGGCAGGCCAAACACAATTTTTGACTTCTTGAGGGAGACAGGGAGGAGCTTCACCTATTATGTGTATGGGAAAGGAGAAACCTATTGATATAAAAACTAATAGACTGAAATCAAAATTTTCCTATAAAGCACTCAGGCCGCACCATTAATTGTTTCCGTTCCTCTGCCTTTCTGTTAATATGGGTAGTGTATTCTGGGAGATCCATGGAGTGACAGTTGGTCAACAATTTTATGGCACGACCAAACATTTTACGCACAGGTTAGTAAACTTTCGTCGTGCTATTCTCCCCTCCGGATTGACTGACACAAGGAGAGGTCCCGGGTCTCCGAGAATAAGATAAGACTAGTCTATTCACAAAACTTATGAACACCACGGATTATTTATTATTGGCCGGAAGCAAAATGATTTCGGGGTGGGTAAATGGGAAAATAGACACTCTTCACAAAACAGCTTAGAAACGATCATGGAATCCTATAAATAGACAAGTTGTTCAACATGTGCACCGCCCCTGGCTGGTAATATGCATAAGAAACACGAATGAAAATTTGGTTTTGCGGCTGAAATTTGTCGACAGGGTACGTAGCTACGTTTGTTCTTGCATAGTGCTTCAGTCACGTGCCTGTATTGTGCATAAATTATGAACAAAACAAACTGTAAAATTTTAAAAGGATTTCAGAATATCGTTTTGTGTGGACAGCTGAACTGCTATGCATGCGGTCAGGTGACTTATACCCTAATCCACTGGCATGGAGAACAAATCATTTAAATCCCTGGGAACGCGGTTGCTTTTATGGGCACACGGCCTGATTTTACCGTATGGCAAAAAACAAAAGAGATGTTTGTTGTTATGGGGAAAAGCATTTTATGCCGTTTGCCATACACCCAGGATTATCTTGAGTCTTGTAACTTCTTAGAATACCAAGCTAGAAATAAACGTGCATATAGACTCTACTGAGCTGTTCTATTAATTAGCACGTTTTTATAGAAATCAAACACACATGAATGCCCGTGATCTAATGAGTTCAAATCTCAACTCTTTTAACGGACTTTGACAGTTAAGCTTTTGTCATTCTTTGGTTAGATCGAGACGTCAAACAGCTTTACTTATAATTTTTTTTGCTAAAATAAGAATGAAGCGACATTTTCAAGATCTGAATAGACGAAAGTGACTCACCCTCTAAGTCGTAAGATCTACATTTACACATACTGATAACGTAATCTGCTCGGCATTTCAGAAGGCAAGCGGACTTGGTGTACTTTTTAAAACCAGCGAGGTGTTTATCTTCGCATGCAGTCTTGAATGGCGATGGAAGGTTATGCATCTGAACAAAAACAAACAAACCAATGAGATAAACGTAAAAACAAGCAATTAACAATGGCGGCTATTATGTTTGGTCAAATTATACTTTCTTAACATAAACACCAAAGGGACGAAGAGAAGTGTCCGCAATACAGGTAGACTGCTAGCAGTCTCTCTTTTTCTTCAGATTTAGTAAGGGGCGTGCACGCGCGTGCGAGCGTTGAGCGGCGAAGCTGCGAGACGCAAGAAACGAGGGCGGCAGCCCGAGCAGAAAAAAGAGAGACTGCCCGCATAGCTCTTTTATCGTGCCTCTCCCGTCTCGTGCCTTCAGTCACGCGCGTGGTCATTTGCGTGTCTTGGGCGTTTTGCTCGACGGACCAAGAAAAAATTGAGACTGCTCGTAGTCTAGAATACTGGTGTCCGTATTATAGAGGAAGGTTCCTCTTTATTGGATTTAATCGGATAATAATTTAATTGAAAAATAATTTTTACCCTGAAGAACGGTAGCCCATCGAGAATATAGAAATCGGCGTTATCTCGAAAAGTTTAAAAGGAAGAGTATGACTATTAAAAATCTGTTGCCTAATATTTCCCAGTCCAGTCCAACGTCTGAGATCCGTTGTCTAGAATCTATCAGGGGCTTTCAGGCGTCCATCCACACTTTGAGGTTACTAGGGCTACATTTAAAGGTCCAGCTTCAGCAGTCTATTCAATAATCATCTTGGCTTGCTTCGATTCTTTACTTATCTCTGATCACTTTAGAAATAAGAAAAACAACAAAAACAACAACAACAACAACAACAACAACAAAACTCTAATAGGTAACCTTTCATTTCTAATGCAAACCCCCCCGGTTAGACTTTTGTTTTGCGATTTTGTATTGTGAATAACATCTGTTTAGATGACTATTCATGTACATACCACTTCCTTCCTAAGCCCGCAGAACGTGTGCGTCCCTGGCTGAATTGCAAAACCAAGCTCGTTGATCAGGGGCGGTTCTTCCTGATCATGCACCATAACCTTGAAGCCAGACGAGTCTCTTAGTGAGCCGTAATACTGATCTTGTTGTACGCTGAGAGATAATCTGAGCGCATAATCTACTCCTGCTCGTTGCACTCTGAGTAGCGGGTGTCCTTTCATGCCTGTGGGCCCGGTGAACATCATGGTGTTTGAAAAAAAAAAATGCGCAACATTGCATAGTTAAATTCACCAAACAAAATGCTAGGTGGCTCGAGATCCCTGCGGTCTTCGATACCAAATTATGGGAAATCTTGGCATAATAGTAATACAGTACCAGTTTATTTTTCAGAACTCACACGGCCAGATATCGATTAAAATGTTGTCCCCTGATATTATTTTTTAAAGGCTTAGTCTTGGATGAGCTCGAGTTAATATTCAACTGAGCAGTTTTATTTTGAGTAATTTGTTGAATTTGATTCGTAAACTCGGATGTCATATGATGGGATAAAACTTTGGACGTCTTGTCTACAAAAGTTGCACAGCAATTTGTGGTGACGTGGGTCTCATAGATAGGTCGATGGATCTTGTGACTGACTGCTCATTTAAATGCCTTGGGTTTTATATGGCTTATACAGGGCGAGTTGTTCAATTAATTTCTTCCAGTTATGGTAGCTTAACACAGTTTTGGCAGTTTGTGAGTATATGTCATTTGCCAAATGATGGCAAGAGAAAGGTTGCAGCTCACAAGCTGAAACTTGGCAAGTGAAAAATATACTGATGAAAAATTTTGACTGACAGGTAAAATGTGACGTTTTCGTAGTTTCCATGGCAACATGAACGATTGAATACAACCTTAAGATTTCACTTTTGCTCAGATTACATAAAATATGCGCATTAGATTTTCCTATAGTAAACTTTCACACAGCTTACTATAATTAATCATCACCATTTGAAACTTATTTGACCAAATTTTAAAAGACGGGTTTTTAGATAATCAATAATATGATTGTACTGTAATTATTGAATGTGTCACAAAATTCGTCTGTTCAACTTCCATTTTAAAATTCTTATTATTGGAAGTACGATAAAAGTAAAAATTCTTCCAAATATCACAAAATTTTAATGAGTAGATTTTGAGAAATAGTCATCTGTGTACCATTGCTTTTTTGCGCCGGCATGTTTGTTTGTCTAATTTAAAACACGAGCCATAACGCGAGTTACCGCTGACCGCCCGCAGAACTGTGCTCAGCCACCTTAACAGATTTGTTTTCATATGACCTCATGGCGGCCATATTGGTGTACCGAAAAAGTCCTGTGGGGATTGAATTCTTCTCTCATATAAAAACTTTCTTTTGTTCCAAGAAAAAGATAAGCATATTTGATGGCCAAGTAAGTGAAAACGCTCTACTATTTCAAACGTGAGGGATCTCGGAGAAATAACTTTTAAAAACAACTTTAAGGTCTCTTAGGAGCTCCCCCCCCCTCCCTCAGGTTTGATATTCACCTGAATTAAATGTGTAGCAGAGACCAAACTCAGTTATAACCGCAGTAAAATTCTCAGGTCCGCAAGGTTGTGATTTCCATCTGCACTTTTTAATCATGTGATCAATACGATGGCCATGAGTTCTCACAAACTGCGCAAAGTCAAAACTATCATCGATCCCAAATGCTGTATCGTCATCAAGAACATCGACATCGTCATCATCGATAGGTTTTGTCGATTCTTTTCCCCGGCGACGACGGCGAAGGTAGTTCAGGAAGTTCGGGATTGGAGATCGCGCAAAGAGAACCTCTTCTTTGTTGTCAATGTACTTTTGAGGAGCTAATATTGACATGACCTGTAGCGAAAACACAAAAGTTGGTATAATTCTTTTTTCATTTATACTAGTTTGCCTAGCCTGGGACTAGGCTCAGAAGTGGGGGGAAAAGGCAAAAAACGGGGTCAAATAGGAAAAATATTGGCGAGCCAAGCGACTCGAGCGGTATCCAAGGGAGGGGGAAAGGGCGTAGGAGCGCTGCCACCCTTTCCTATCCCCAGACTACTTCTCAGCTCGCTTCACTCGCCGATTTTTTTTTCGCCAACGCGATTTTTTTTCCTTTTTCCCACAATGCGGAGCCTGGTACCAGGCTATGGTTTGCCAGCCGTAAGTGCATATATACCATAAATGATCAAATAGTCGCGCTCTCTCAAATAATCGCCTTTTATCTAATGAACGTCCCCTCTTCGCAAACGTTTGTATGAGACACTTCTCTCTAATAAAAGCCCCCTGTCTAGTAGACACCCCTTATTAAAATTGCTTCAAATTACTGATAAATAGCGAAATGGAGCAAAATAATCCAATTTGTGAGTTTGCGCATTGCATCTTATTCAATATCAAGTTGGTTCAAAGCAAGGATAGTATAAGAGAAGTAAAGTAAGCAAAAATATAAATCTAAACATTATTATAATTTGTTTTTTCAACAAGCATAACAAATGTACCTTGGCAATACGGAACTTACCAGTGGGCAGTGACTTCGAATCTAGCGATCAGTAGAAAAGGTTTCTAGACTTTCTTTTAGAACCGTAGAATTGACATAAAATAAGTGGTCTCTTTTAAGACACCACCGTTATTTAGTGCTCAGTTTCCAGGATCTAGAGCTGCTTCAATACAGAATTGTCGGTGAATCACTGCAAATGAAACTAATTGAAAGCGTTCGTCCACTTTAATTGTTAAGCGTGCACATGTTTTTCATTCAGGAGGGTGGCCGCTTAATGAAAGTTCGACTGTATTTTGGACAATGTTTGAAGCAGGGAATTCTTCTACTGATCTAAGGGGCCACAGCCCGAATAGAAAAAGTCTACTGTAGGGTTTATTAGGGTAGGGGTGGGGAGGTTCTTGTCTCGTTATGCTTGAAACTTCGGATCAATTCACCACTTTAGAACCGAAAAGTAAACTGGGGCTATAATGCATCCCGCAACTGATTCATGGGATCGTTACTTTAAAAACGACGGTCAGCTATTGATCATTTCCCCTCTTCCTAATAAAAGCCCCAGAAGACTTAGCGAGTTAACTAGGGCCAGGTTCCCTCTCTTTTCTAAAGTGGCGAATGTACGATTCTGGGAAACTACCTACCTACCCCTCCCCCTCCCCCTAGCCTAACGTTAACACTGGCTTCTGAAGTCGCGCAAATGTTGGGTCAGGGAAGGGCGAGGTGTGGGGTCCCTGGATCATGCTATTCCAGTTGGAGATTATTAATAATACAAGTGGATTTACAATTTATAATCACTTACCTTTTCTCCTATTGTGCCGTTAATAAGGTAATAAGGAAATAAGTTGAAATTGCATATAGAAACCGCGGGGAAAATAATCTCGTCCAAAAATTCAACTTGCACAGTGGTGGTGATCGGGCGATCAAAATATTTCTGGATACTTTTCTTGCTCTGTAGCAACAACATGAAAATGGCGAGTATCAAAATCACCAACCATAGGAGACGGCGAATTTTAGGGCCATCCTCGAATATGAAACGAAATCCATGAAGCGTGAGGCTATGCAAAAAATCCTGCCATAGCTCGTACGTTGTTGGGATCTCTTCTTCATCACTGTTTTCAGAATCACTGTTGCCTTCTTTTTTCTTTTTCTTCTTCGGCGACTGTTGTGGGCATGACATGCTTACGAATTCAAAACAGTCAACAAAACTTCGTTGGAGTATCTCTAACAGCGACGTTTTCGGCGCTTTGACAAGCACTATGTATTCGGCTTCGACAAGACCTCTATCCGTCGTCCAGTGTCTGGGAAACGATTCCCTCGAGTCGATACAGTCTTTATCAACGGGCATCCTTATGATAAACGACCATCATTTCACAACAAGACGGTCCATATCATTCCATATCACTGACTAGCCATTCTCTCGGTGCTCTTGACAAAAAATGCACATGTTAACCTTTAACAAACAGTTAGTCGAACCACGTTTTACCGTGCTCGGGAGTGCTCCAAAACCTGTTTTTAAAATCCAGTTTAAGTGCCGCGATCATGAATTACAAGTGAGACTTTCTTATCTTGAAAACACTTCAGAGGGAAAGTCAAAATCTCCGGGTTTTTTTCATTTAGATTTGCTTGCCACCAGTTTGAATTAAACAGTGCTCAATGAACCTTGCAAGGGGCACCCTGTATAAGGCGTTTAGTGATTGGAGACTATTACGTCATAGATCGCAGGTACCAGCCTTATTTGTTCGTCGTTCAATTCAAAGGGCGCTGCCCTTAGAAGTTGAAACAATGATATAAAATAAAATAGCAACAATATTAAGATGCTAATGTTTATCTGACCGGAATATTTTAAAAGTCGCTTTATTGCTCAAATCCGACTAGATTTAATGCCATAAGTTTCCATGCTCTTGTTTGTTTGTCCTCCAGTTTTGTATGATTGAAAGCATACTGTGTTGTGCCCCCTTCAAATTTTGGATGCCTATACGCTGCCTCGATTAGGCGACGGCCAATGGGCATTACGAATTTGACCGTACAGTTGGACTGTAGTCATTACTGACCTTTTCAGTCAGTTGAGTCGAGACTTGGCTGAAATGGGGAGTGCGAACGGACCTGGGGCCCGTTTCTCGAAAGTCCTGGTAACTTTTTGGGCCCGAAATCAAATATTCAAATCGAAATATAAAGAATAAGAGCGCGGGTCCTGGCTAGCAAACTACTGCATTTTGTTTCACTAACTGATAGTTCTATCATGCTAGATGCAAAACTTTTGAAACCTCGATCTTTAATATAAACGGAGACGGCTTACCGGGACTTTCGAGAAACTGGCCCCTGGGGCCTGTTTCTCCAAAGTCCCGGTAAGTTTTTGGGCTCGGAAAGCAGTTTTTTGCTTGTTGGATTTGCATTCAAGGTCAAAATTTCAATAATTTTAAAAATGATAAAATGAAACTATCTGTTAACGAAGCAAAATTGTCTGGCTTGTGAGCGAGGAATTGTGCTACCATTCAACAGGTTTTGATTTTAAAATATGCTTACCTGGGGCCCGTTTCTCGAAAGTCCCGGTAACTTTTCGGGCCCGAAATCAAATATTGAAATCGAAATATAAAGAATAAGAGCGCGCGTCCTGGCTAGCAAACAACTCCATTTTGTTTCACTAACTGATAGTTGTATCATGTTAGATGCAACACTTTCCAGAAACTGGTCCCTGGCCTTTCAAGAAACGGGCCCCATGAGCGGAAATCGGGGGAGGTAGTTTCCACTGTGCTCGCCTTTTTTTCTCGTTTGCTGTCTTGATTTGCATGCTCGCACGACCGTTGTTACAGTGATATGGGAATCCTCATTAATTCCCAAAACCCCTGTCATATGGGAATCCCCTTCTTATGTTACCTTAGCGATTTAGGTTAGGGTTAGGGTTAGGGTTACAGGGGATGCCCATATCACTGAGGGTTTTGGAAATGGGGATGCCCAAAACGCGGGGATACCACTATCACTGTGACGATGTCCCGAGGGACAGCTCCCAGTCTTCCGTACAGTTAAACCTTCACTAACAGGATCCATCCTGTAGTTAGCACTAATTCTAATTCTACTGCCCAGGTCACTTTACCTCTATACCCTTCAACCCTGTGATTGTGATTAGGGTTAAGTGACACTGATTTAGGGTTTAGCACTGAAAATAGTGATAAGGGTTAAGCCCTGTAAATAGTGATTAAGGTTAAGCAATTAATCTTCAACGGTTCGCTAAGTTATTTACGGTTAGGGTTGGCTCCATAGCTTCAACGCAAACCATTTCTCTCCACCTAATCCTCAGAGGCGTAGTGGTATAGGAGATGGATTACAAAATCTACGCCCCGGGTTCAATTCTTACTCACGCTCTTCTGGAATTTTTTTTTCCTTAAAAATTTGCTGAGCCCAGAAATTTTAAGAGACTTTAAAATTTATTCTTAAGTGTAGTATGGAAGCAATAAAGAATACCATGTTGTGTAAACTTCATAAGGTGTCCATGAGTCTTTCGATGGATTACGCGTGAGCTCTCGAGTTTGATCCCCGGTGACATCACATCCTTTTTTCAACTTCTCTCCATTCTGTGTAGCTTTAGCTATCTTTAAACATCCTTAAAACGGAGAGTCTTTAAAAGCCTTACCTCAACAAGTCCTCAACAAGTTAACAGAAATTCCATCTGTTCGCTATTGAAAAAAGCACATCTGGAGGTGTTGATCCAAGACAAGACAAGACAAGACATTTATTATCGTAACATTACAAGTACAATTGTTTGGCACACAGTTAGCAAGAAAACGCTAGTCGAGGCGTGCCAAATTAATTCTATTACAAATCAGATATTATATTATAATAAGTAAAAAGCAAAGAAAAAGAAAAGAAGAAATATTTTTAATGAATTCAAAAGCAAGAAAGACAAATCTGTTTAATGCAACCTGTGAAAGAGGCTAAGGTTTAGGATGTGGCGATTTTATTTCTTGTGTTATCATGGTTGCATCAAGGTAATTGTCTTTTAATATTTCGAAGAGCACACTGATTAATTTTCGTTTGAACACTTTTTTTGACATATCTCTCATTCTACCTGGTATCTCATTCTATACTTTAGCGCCAAAAATTGGGACGGCTTGTCTTAGTTTTTCAAGATTAAATTTTTTGATGTACATATTATTTTTAGAGGATGACCTTGTGTTATATTCATGAATACATGATGTCTGCGAGAACAAGTTAACGATTTTTGAGGGTGCAGAATTAGTATGAATATCATGCATTACTTAAGATACGGACTTAAAATAGAGAAAGCTAATTGGCAGGATATTTGCATCAATAAAAAGAGGAATGGCATGAACTTTCCTGTTGGCAAAAAATGAAACGGATAACTTTTTTCTAAAGCAATAAGATTTTTGTTAAATGTGTTTTTGACGCTTGCTCCCAAACTATCAAACCGTAAGATAAATAAGGCAAGATTAACGCACGGTAAATATTTAGCAAGGTATGTTGAGGATCAAAGTGCCTCAATTTGGCGATTAAACCAATCGTTTTACTTAATTTAGTAGCTACATTGTCAATGTGAAAGATTTTTGTCAATCAGAATGCCTAAATATTTAACATAATTTTTCATTTCTAAACTAACGTACTGATTGGTATCAGTATCGAAGATCTTAAGTTGGGGAAGGTAGTCAACAGACTTCTGGTAAGGATGAAAAATAACAAAATTGGTTTTTTTGGTATTAAGGGTTAATTTATTTGAGGCCAGCCAAAGACACAACTTTTTAAGCTCAGAGTTTACTGTTGCCTCAAGTGACCTTAGGTTCTTGTTGGCATACAGTATGTTAGTATCATCAGCAAAGAGGTAGAAATTAAAAGTATCAGAGCAAGTATGAATATCCTTATATATAAGAGGAAAAGCAAAGGACCTAGTACAGACCCCTGTGGAACACCATTAGATATTAGAGCTGCATCAGATAATTGTTTGTTTATTTCTAGTGTTTGTGATCTGTTACACAAAAAGGATTCAAACCAGTTATTAATTATTCCACGAAAACCATAATGATTTAACTTATTTAGAAGAATTTGATGGTTAACTGTATCGAAGGCTTTCTTTAAGTCAATAAAAATTCCACAGGTAAATAAACGTTTATCCATATTAGACTGAATTGCACTAACTATATCTACAATGGCATGTTCAGTAGAAAACCCTTCTCTAAACCCATACTGAGCTGAAAACAAAATATTGTTAACATTAATAAAATGCATCATTCTTTTATACATAACCTTTTCAAAGATTCTGTCAAATATAGATAAGAGAGAAATCGGTCTATAGTTATTTGCATCTGTCTCATCCTCAGTTTTAAACACAGGTATGACTTTAGCCTTTTGAGTTTTAAAGGGTAGTTCCCAGATGTGACCGACAAATTGACGATTTTAGCTAAAATGTCGCTGATAATAGTACTTGAATATTTCAAGAGTTTAGTCGGGCAGGAGTATAAACCGTAAGATTTATTGTTGGGTAAAGCCAATATTTCTAATTCAACTTCCCTGGCAGTTACAGGCTTGAACATGAAAGAACTCACTAGAGAATTGTTTTTTTTTTTAGAAAGTCGCGATGATCACCAGAAGCAGGTATCTTACTCGCTAGTTTTTCTCCAACAAACGCAAAATGCACATTTAGTATATTAGCAATTCTTTGTGGATTGCGATTAATCTTATTCCCATTATTTTAGTCTTTTATCTCATTTACATGTCGGGATTTTTTAGTTTTACGATTCAATAGATTATTTAACGCTTCCCAGATCTTTTTCATATTCTGTAAATTTTTTTCAAAACAGTCGTGGAAGTGACCTCTTTTACTAATTCGAATAAGATGATTAATTTCATTTCGATAAAACTTATATTTAGTTTGATCACCAGAAGCAAAAAGTTTATTTTTAGTCTTGATTGAAGCTCTTATCCCTTGTGTTATCCATGGTTTTGAAAAACGCTTCAATTGGCGTCGGGAAATCTGTTTAACTGGTACATGCTTGTTAATTATTTTATTATATTTACTACAAAAAGAGGAGAATATATAATCAATGTCATTATTACCATTTGCTATAATCGACTGCCAATCAATTTGATTAAGATCCTGCGTAAAAGAATCCCTATCGAAATTTGTGAAGTCGCGCATTTTTCTCTTAACGGATTTAATTCTATCTCTTGCTGATCTGAATATACAAAACTGCGAGAAATGGTCACTTACATCAGAAATTATGTTGCCACTCAATAATACACAATCAGGATTATTTACAAATATGTTATCAATTAGAGAAGCCGAGTTGCCGCGAGCTCGCGAAGATTTGTCAATGGTAGGAATGAGATAACAGCTCTGAAGAGATAATAGAAAGTTGTGACTAAATTCCGATACCTCACTTTTCAAAAGACAAAGATTGAAGTCACCCATGACGCAAACATTTTTCCCAGTAGAGATAAATTTTTCTTGAGTTTGTTCAAAATACTCTAAGAAACGTTCGGGAGAATTATGTTGTCTGTAGATCCTGGATCAACTTAATTTTTTGGATAATTTGTCTATCTTAAAAGAAACCTCAAATTAGTACATTGCATTAAGAATGACAATATTTAGCAAGAAATTCACCTTCAATATCATAATGTTGATCAACAAGTCTTTTTGCCTTGCTGACGAAGCTAAAGTGAGTGTAGTCACGTATACCGCCAAAATTCCGAAAATAAGCCTTAGGGCTTACATATTTCAAAGGCCCTTGTTTAGGAGGGCCTATTATTCGGAAAATAGTTTGTCTTGTGTTGCAGTCAAAACATTCTGAATAAAAACAAAAAAAAATGGTTTATGGCTCCACATATGACACGCAATAAATAATTTCATTGAGTAAGAACCTAAATTGAAGCATTTAAGTTGATATTATCACATGGGGCACCCAACGACGGTTTCCTCCTAAATACATTGAAAACACTTTTTAGGCTATCCAGAGTAATTTTTGATATCTAGAAAAGCATTCTAAGCGGCGCTTTAAAATTTCTATTACATGTTTCAAAGGCACTTGTTTAGGAGGGCCTATTATTAGGAAAATAGTTTCTCTTCTGTTGTAGTCAAAACATTCTGAATAGAAACAAAAAAAATGGTTTATGGCTCCACATATGACACGCAATAAATAATTTCATTAACTAAGAACTTAAATTGAGGCATTTAAGTTGATATTATCACATGGGGCACCCAACGACGGTTTCCTCCTAAATACATTGAAAGCACTTTTTAGGCTATCCAGAGTAATTTTCGATATCTAGAAAAGCATTCTAAGCGTCGCTTTAAAATTTCTATCTTTTCGGTCATCCGATCAACTGGGATTTTTACAAATAATTGTTATCGAAAATAAACAAAAGAACGTCAATTCCTTAGTTGCAAAAAGGTATTCATTTGTAGGGCCGGAATATTCATTTTTTTTGTATTGGTTTAAATTAGCTAGGCCATTTTTCTATTACAATTTACCCCCAATGAATATTCGCAGTTGGGGTTTAACTTGACTTTCATATTGCCTTTACTTTAATTTGTTTGCATATTTCTCACACAAATATTGTATCACCGTAAGGACGCAAACAGCCGGTTTACCATACCTTGAGACTGCATATTAAGGTGTTAACGTCTGGGCGAAAAGTTAACATTGTGTGTGAGGGTTATATCGATTGATATCGGAACCAGAGGCATTATATTCATTGATCAGGACAGTTGAAAAATGGAGATACTGCGACGGTGAGAGAAAGATTTCTGCATAAAACATGAGGTTAGTGCAGCAGGGTATTTCACCTGTAGTTTAAAGCGATAAAAACTGGTCGACAAATCCATTCGGAACATTTTCATATTGAAGATTCTATTCTAATCAACGATCAAAGCAAACAAGCAAGCCATTTGCCAAATCATTGAGATACACGACATATTGTAAGAGTTCGCCTTCATAACGTCATACTGGCATTTTTAAACTAGCATTTTCCTTTCGCTCTGTTGTATGTTGCAAAAGTAGTTCTTTTACTTTGGCTTAAAGCACGTCACACAAAGTCAATAGCATTTTAGGAATATTGTTTCAACAGATTCACCCATTTTCCCAAGTCATAAAACAGGAACGTCTCTTAGTCTGAGATACGCGAGACTCCTAAAACTACACTTCCAAATAAAAAGAAAGAAATTGTATAAAGAATACGATCCAAAGAAAGCAATCTTTACCGTTGTATTATTTCATTCAAAGAAAGCAAAATTAGTAATTATGTCAATGCAGTTGTCAGTTATATTTTACCGCCGCTTGTTCTTCTGTAAGCTACATACAGACACATTAAACTGATTGATTTGCGGGTAAACAAATCTCTAAGCCTCGGAAAACAAAGAAATTTGTGTGCTCAAAGCATTTTGCAGACTTGAAATGTTAAATATTTCACAAGGCGTCAGGGTGTTCTTGAAGTTGAACTTAGCGCACGGATTTCTTAAAGGAAGGCAAATTGCTTAAACGGTTGACAGACACTTAAAAAATGTAAATTTTAGGCTTAAAAGGAATTATCATGAAACCGTAAAAGGTTAGATTGCCTTATTTCCTTAAAATGCCTTAAAGAACAAGAAAATATGCCAATTATTTTCTACGTGCCTCAAAAAATCCAGAGAACAAACTGCCATCAACATAATAACGCTTTTTTGTATTTACCAATAAGACGGAATTAAATTACTGACATTTTAAATTTCCTTTCATACGAAGCGAATTTTTACCATTATCCATAATTATTATGTATATTTTACTATGATTTTCATTTTTTATTAATGACACAAGGAAAATGTTTCTTTCAAAAAAAAATCCTTTCTGATTCTACAACTTCCTTTGAAAGTCAAGTCTATTTTTTTGCGTCTTTTTGCTCATCTCCAGCCATTCGATATAACTCAGTGAATTCTGCTGACCAAAACCCCCTCAAAAACTAAAAGTCCCCTATTTAAAATATTTTACTTCTCCAAAACTCCCAAAACAATATTTCAATTTTGGTTGCTAAAACAATAAACAGTACTGTCATTTTATAAACGTAATAAAATCACCAAGCATTAAGCTACATACATCCTGGAATCTCCAAAACGTAAACTGATTCTCGACAAAAAAAGAAAACATTTAAGGTAACTTTAACTTTTCCTAAAAATTTAGAATTAAATTTCATTCCATCTAACGCGAAATCTTGCACACGTATCCCTAACTGTTCAAGAGAACGATATTACCGCACACTAGTTACTAAATGCAGCGTAACGAGCTTCAAGTGACACTCCCTGCTATGAGAGCTGTGTCACGGAGTTTTTGTGTTACATTTCGTCACGCCTGACATTTTTGGTCTTACATGTAGGCGATCACGTTTGGAGCACGTACTCATGTGACATTGTGAACTAGAGAATTGTAATTTTTGTCGAAGACTAGTGTTCGGTTTTGAAGGCCGAATGTTTTGGCAAGTGTTGGCAAGTCTATCGGTTTTGAAGCCCGTTACTGTTGGACTCCTATTGGTTTCGATTAAAATCTATCACAAGCTGCTCGAATGTGCATAGTGACAAAAAGAGGGGTTTAGTATACAGCGGTAGAAAAATAGTTATTACTAGTCTAAACTTCAGACAACACTCTCGTCTTATCATAAAGTGAAGCATTTTAAGGTTAACGTTTCTCCTCTTAAACGTACGACAACACACCCATTTTGTTCTTTTTTTGGTCTAATTATCAGTGAATAAGACAATATTTTGTTCAAGTTTTCTTGTTTTCGCGAGAATTTTTAGACGGAAGTATATTTAACAATTATTCCTTCGGCCTCATGGACTATTGACTCAGAGGCCATGAGGGCAAGAGGAATAATTGTTTTAGTAAAATCCAACTAGTTGGTCAAAAATATCGAGACAAAACAAGCTTAGCTAGTTAAAGCTAGACTTAAATCCTTTTTTGCCGCCAAAAAGCCGGCGCTTGTCGCTACTAGTGGGCTATAACGTATAGCCTAGTAGTGGCTCAACCAATCAGAACGCAGCATTGATAATAGACCACTAGTTAGATTTTACTATAGTTTCCGTTATCTCAATCATTGATAGTAGCTTTACCCCTTTAAGCAAACATATGTTTTGACGACTTGACTTTGGGGTTTTCTTAATTAAGTCACGTTCAGTAAGGAACTGTCTGTCATTAAGCTTAAATTTTAAAATCAAAATGATGGATGTCTGTACTTTATGAATAAAGACTTTTCTATGCAAGATGGCTCATATTGCTCAAGTGTGCATATTTTTAGTCGACAGACTTGATTTTGCCTTTAGCTTAACCTTATTTAAAGTCAGGAGCCCGTAACGCGGAGTAAGCAAACTCCCATCTAGGCTTATGTCAAGGATCACTTTTTGCTAAGATGCATTTTGTTGCTGAGAAAATGTGGAGAAGCTGACCGATCCAGGAACGCATTCTACGTATAAGATATGAAAAAGTAAAACTGAACGTCATAAAAAGTTCAAAAATAGAATTTTCAGGTCCGTGGCTTTTGGTGACTTGTTTGTTGGACTTCAAAGATATTCTAAATTCACGCCAAAATAATTCTAAAAATAAACTGGTCGGTGAAAAAGCCGTGCATGTGACGCGAGTACGTGGAAGTTGCTAGCTCCAAGTTCTGGGTTCCTGTTATTGCTATAGTCAGTTACGAAATAACTGTGTTTGCATGAGAGAACGCAAACATGGTTGTGACGTCAAGAAGTTTTGTTTTTCGCGCGCTAATCATGCAAGCACGGAAGACGTGTTCTATTGTTTAACTATTGATCCTAGAAGAGCAGCAAAGGGTTTTTTAATTGAAAGGGACTGGCCGGCCATAAACGATCGTTACCCCCAAAAACATCTAAATTACAACGTTCTGGACCTCAGGTCAGGTTTCTGATCATTGCCGGCCTCCTAGAGGCAGGCAAAGAACACGTTACACAGAGTGTATTGCCAAAATATTTGCATCCAAGCTTTGCATTGCGGACATTGAAACCCTTAGAATGAGGGAAATTGGTGAACATCGAACAGCCTGATAGTCAGAAAGCCAACTAAGGGGGAAAGCCCTGCAGTTCTCAGTTTAGCGCATGTTCATAAGGCCAAACATTGTATTGACAAACACGTAATTAAATAGACAAACCCTTATCAGAGCTCTTCCGTCCTTTGTTTCAAGATCGCTTGGTTTCATGCTAACATTTCGACTGCTTTCTCTTCTAATGCGATGGTATCGACTTGCTGTGCAGCTTTAGTATCGTGGTTGTTAGTGATTGGCGGATTGCTATCCTTGCTTTTAAAGCTGGCTGTAATTTGCTGTTGTGTTGTTTGGATCGGAATCTTTACAGGAAACTACTAGGACCCTTCGAGGACACCAGTGTGGGTCGCCGTCAAAAAAACGCATTTGTTCCAATGCGGTTGTTACCCGGTGAACAGATCTCGGGTTCCTGTCAGCTAGGTCTACAGTCATTGTCCTTTTAGGTAAGCTCTGTCACACGCTGATTACTAAGTCCTGGCCACTTTGACTCTGGTGTCCAACGGAATGCATTTCTGGTCAATCAATCAAGGTTATTGTTCTTGTTGTGGTCATTGTTAACAAAGAGGCGATTCTGATCAAGCCAGGATGGCAATCAGAGCTAAGCTGTGAGTTTACAACAAAATGGAGTACCGTAGGGGAGGTATCAGAGTAACATCTGCGTAGAGGCCTCAAAAGGGAACCCTAAAGTACACCCTATTCGGTCAAGAGTTGCTGATGTTTCATCTTGTGATAGCAAAATGAGTCGTCCGATGAGTCATTTTTTGGTTGGCAACCACCTGGTCCGTTGACAAAGGAGAACGTCTTCTAGTTTCAGTTTTTTCTTGGCTTTTTCACGTAAGAGAAAGTAAGCAAGATATTGCGAAGACGGCACGCTCATCTACTCCCAGATCTTCCTCTTTTTCCGGCTTCTTCTGCCGGAAACTGTTATGTAATTTTCTCCCGGCGGGGAAACTGGCGACGCAAATTCCAAATTAGGGTCGAAAGCGCCACCTAATCTGCGATTCCTCCATACTGGCTCATTAATCGCCGTAATATGGAGCACCTCAAAATTGAGATGTTTTGTGCAACTGAGCTCGTTTTCATCCATGAGCCGTCTACTGTTTATTGTTTTTCGACTTGTGGCAGCTGGTGGCTATTAAATACAAATTCAATAACAAATTGCCTGCTGTTGGAATACAATATATGCTAATTTTTTAAAAAAATCTCTTTGTATTTTAGAAACGGAATCGTTATTTTACCTTTGCATCAAGTTGATATTAGAAAGGTACAAGCCTTTATAAGAGAGTTTTGTCTTTCAGTTTGTTAAACCTTTTATTTCTCTAACGATTCGTAAAGGTAGATTTCTTATCTGATATTAGCTATAAGAGAGTACTGTTGTCTCCCTGGGATTAACTCCCTGGAGGCCACTTATAAATTAACATTTCTACGTGTTTAGTATAAAGGCTGCAATAATTTCATAAAGTAAAGGGCAGAGCCTTGGGCATTTGTGACTTGATTTTATTTCAGGCAAATCAAGAACACAATAACAAGCGATTTCATCCAAAGGGCCTTGTCTTAACCGTCATGAAAAGCAAAACGGATCGTTTGCGAGCATCTGTTTGTTCCATGCGGAGACAGACATGTGGCGTGGCTTGCCTCCAGGGCAATTTCTTACACATTCATTGAAATTAGAGTAGACATGCTATGGCCGAAGTTCGCCATGGTAGAAACTTCTCGATTATGTATTGTTTACATAACTGAACGGAAGAAACCACTCAAAAATTTGAACTTACAGATGTTTCAGCCGACGCAATTAATACCATTGCGCATTTGCCAATTTGGATTTGATTATCGCGTGGAGAAATCCTCCTTTCGCTGTCAATAGGTAATGCAAGGCTTCGGCAGTGTGTTTGTAATGTAAGTACAGCGTCTTTCTTTTTCATCCAGCATCTCATCAGAACTTGTGTTCATCCAAGTTATAACTTATTTTCGGTTTCCACCACGGAATCAACTGAATGGGAATCAGATATTGTAACGTTTTCAATCGTGTGTAATAGCCACCTGAAAAACACATAGCATCATGCTAGGTTTTGGAAGGCCCAGTTTATGGTACTCATTTTCCTTTCCATTACTTGAGTTGACTTACGCCACTTACAGGAAACATGAAAAGAGATTTGAAGAATTGAGAATTGAACAAACAGCACTCCATTGAATCGTATGGACATGCAAACGAAATCTTCACGAAACTCAAAGGAGAGAAATGGTTTTTACTCACAACATGAAGTTAATCGCATGCAGGGTTTGTAAACTAAAGGATCTCATGTTTAAGTCACCTTTAATATTTGTTGTTTTGTTCGCCTTGTTTCGTGTGGTATTGCTGTTTTCTTTATTATTTTTCCTTTAGGTTAACTTCAGGAAAATAGGTCCATCGAATTTGTTTTCAGGTCAAGTTGCCTGAGGCCAGTTTTTGCCCATTGCCTAGCCGTTGCTGATAATTAAAAGCAGTCTTTATTTTGAAAAAGTACCGTGCAGTTTTATGAATGCTCTTAACTTCCTAGATTGTTTTCATATTTGCTGTTCGGTAGACTTGACATGTTACAAGTTTCACAGAAGAAAAACAGAAAAGCGCGCGGAGCCAGGTTTTAGCGACGAAGTTGCAAGATGTCGTCCTTCGCCTTATTTGGAGGCCATATTATTAGATAGGACGAAGGTTACTTTGCCGAAAGTGCTGCTAATCCACAAGTCTACCCAATTGTCCAAGTAGTGCCGCCAGTATTAGGGCGCAAGTTGATTATAAAACTGAATTACATGATATTAATATCAAATAATCCAGAGCTTCGCTGTTCTCTTTGGTTAGTCGTCATGGTGGTTCTTTAACCTCTTCAGCCTTGATTTATAGATTTCTCCATGTGGTGTTAGCGACAATCATCGTTAGTATATCCGGTTGGTGGAATTCGTCGATCAGCTCAGTCTATCCATCGATTGTCTAAATCAAAGTGGTTGACATTTTCTTTAAAGACCCAGGCCACCAACAGCTGCCTGTGGCTAACAAACCTTGCAAAATCTTGTCTGTTGGGCCTGACGAAACGAAAACCTGCATGGTGCATTGCATGTTTTTGTTCTCTCCACTAACTGAAAACCATAAAGACACGAAAAATTTCCAGAGACAAGTTTTCGCTTTAGTTTTACAAATTAGGAATACTTCATTTAACAGTGAAAGCCATACTCTCCATAAATGCTTCTCTTCCATGTTTTATATTTTCCTGTATCTGTTTTAAAAAAACATGAGTGCACAATGGATTAACTTAAAACTGTTCCTTCCTTTGTGCCACCAGAAATGTGGTTTTGTTATGAACTCGCCTATTTCTTCATCCAACCCAAGTCTCCGCACGAAACTTTTTGAAATTTACCAAAATGTGCGTTTCCCGCAAGTAAAGAGCATTTGTAGGTGAAACTAGCAGTTTTTATATACTTAGTTATGTCAATTTTCGTTTGTTTAAAAAGGTAGTTGGTTTCTGTTTGTACCACCCCGTATCACACCATGGTTTTAGTTACCCGCAATTTACTCTTGTCCTGGTATTATCTAAGCTAGAAGCTTCAAAAACACACTGTTTTTCACTTTTTCTTACCTCTGTTTTTAATCTGTTATTCTCAGGAGCAATAGCGTCTTTCTCTGGGTAGAGGCTTCCAGCTGGATTCAACTTCGATGAACGCATCGAGATCAGAAATTAGTATTTACATCATTTTCAGAAAGGAAAAGGAATGAGGATCCAAATAATAACATTGTTACAAGTTATAACAATTCTGAACTTAAGCTTTACACTTTGCGATGGAAACTGCAAACAGACTAAAGGATCTTTGTTGGCAATAGGAGTATTTGATTTCGATGACGTTTCTTCAGTCAAGTCTTTCGAGAACGCAATATCGCGGCACAATCTTTTGCGGCACACAGAATGTATCCCAGAACTTAAAAACAAGACAATAATTGTCAAGAGTGAGATGGGTTTGCGCGAGTTAATGGTTCTTGTTGACACAACGATGCAGCAGGGTCCTTGTTTTATGGTTTACGCCTCGAAAACTTCCAAAGCAAGAATTTTCCTGGATGTTGCGATGTTTCAAAGAACAAACATTATCACAGCTGTGCAAGAGGTAAGGTCTATAATGTAAAACGTTCTTTAGGTTTTTGGCTTTTCAAGACAACACTGAGTGTACAAAATCTTGTGAAGGGAAAAAAGTCATTCAATACTGCATTGTTATTCCCTTTAACAAATAACTGTAATGCTATTACTAGTTCATGAAACTTCGATGAGGAAGCTTAAGGAAAGGGTCTTTGAATCCGCCATTTTCGTAATAATCTCGATATTGAAGAATATTTCGTTATCTACATTACCAGAAGTATGCGTTTGGCCTATGGCGTTTTGGCAAATGGTAGTCAACCCTTTCGCTTGAGTCGACACTTCACTTCAATTTCACTTGGATTATACCAGGGAAATTAGGAAATTTACTTATACGGTTAATCCAATCTATAAGATTTTCAGAAGGGAGATAAAACATTTGGTGTAGGTTCAGTCGGGGGGAAAATTGGGGAGCTTTAGCAAAGGCGTTTGCGAGCGATGCAGGAATGAAAACCGAGAGTAGACTTAATGTATTCTTGGGCAGTAGTTTTCTCACTCAAATTTTCGGGTAAACCGTCTCTGTAAGAATAAAAAGCAGCGCAAATTTCGTAATGTCAAGGCATATTAAGGCCCTCACTTCCGGTTGACGTGCGTTGTTAAAAAACGTCTTTGTTTAAGGTCCCTCTTTTTTCGGTTCACTTCCGGTTGACGTGCGCTATTTCTTCTGTTCATCACTATCGTTTCAATTGTCATGAAGCAGTTTTGATTATCATCATTTGTCATTTTTACTGGCAAGATCTAGACTTATGTATCAATCCTCGAAAAGTCGTATTGAACCATGTGATGAAAAAAGTCGCAAACAAGACTTGAACGTTATTACAGTTCTTTCATTGTTCAGTTTAGTTCCTTTTTCCTACACAGCAATATATCCAAAGATACAAGGAATCAACAGTCCGTGTCAACCAAATAACAAACGCTGAAACAAAGATAAGCGCCCTCTTGGCCTTTTCACAGCATCTTACAGTGGCTAAGTTTGTCGCTATCACAGACAATGATCATGAATCAACCAGCTTCGTGATAAACCTACAAGAGCCCCTTCGTGTCAGGAACATGGAAATGCTAGACTGGTTGGTGTTCACCCCAGATGATTCCTCCGAGTATATAACCTTAAGATTTCAAAAGTTACAGCACCGAAAAGTAGCTTTTCTATTAGTTACTGACAACCTCACATTGGCCCACAACATTTTTTCAGGAGCTGGAGAACTTTTCTTAAGCAATGATTTATGGATAATTGTATCTGATTTGGATGTTAGAACGTTACTCGACTACTACTATCCAGAAAATAAATTTTCTTTGAACCCAGAAAAGAGTCAGGAAATCACTACAAGTGGCTATGTGGACGATGCTGTTCACTCTATTACTCGTGCTCTTGTGAACAGTCCAGACGACCAGGTTATCGCTTGTCCCGATGAACAGGAAATGCGAAGGTCAGGTTAATTTAATGATAATAATAGCAATGATAATAATAAATAAAAAGATGATGATGATATTGATATCTATTATTATTCATTCAACATATTTCGCCGTTTCTGTTTGGTTAAGACCCGGGCTAATTGTTCATATAACCAACAGGTGTTGACCGCAACCGCATTCAAAAGATGCGAGCAATATAACTTCGATTCCATGGTATATTTGATAGGAAGCGAGGTTGATTGATGATATATTTGCTGGGAATCGAGGCTGCATGGGCAACAGACCATCGATCAACCACGTTTCCAGGCGCGGCCGCCTAGCTGTTTATTTATGGGTAACTAAAAAATGCCGAACACGAAATAGCTGAATTTCTGACAAAGGGCCTCTTCATACGAGGCCGGTTTACCGGGCTGGTCCGGTTTCCGAGATATCGCCTCACCTTTAAAATCAGTACTTTGTAAATTTCGATGTGTTCATACGGAGAGGGCGAACTGGCTCGGTTCCTAGGTGAACTGCTGGAGATTTTGCAATATGAACACTTCAGCCCGGTTACCGGGATGAATTCTGGCGACCCGATGGCATCGTCTTGCTTTACCCGCTGTATTTTGCAGATCATAAGCATCCCACTTAACTTCAGCGATACAGCTTAAGAGTTGCCAAAGCTGTGATAGGCCCGAAAGTTATAATTTTTGTGTTTTTTTGCTTTGTCTCTCGTATTTCGCGCCAGAACTCGTCGACAAGATCTTTGGCCCTTTCACATCTCGGAAACCGGGCTGAAATTTCTCATATGAACCCGAGGTAAAATTGGTTCCGGTAACTGGGCCAGCCCGATCAACCAGGCTCAAGAGAAGAGGCCCTAAAACTGAACGGAACAAGTGCAACAATACCCAAAACATAGTACTTGGTCAATGCCATCTAATTTTGAGGAGTATCTCCAAAAAAAAAAAAACATCTGTTTTTATCCTGAAACTGTGTCGAGAAATGGGCCCAGGTTTAGCAGAAAGTCAAAGAAGAGGTAATTATTGAATCAGGCTTTCGTACGATGTGAGGAATTATGCACATCGCGGAGGCTTATGCAGATCTCGGCCTTCGCCTCGGTGAAAAGAACTGAGTCTCCTCGATCTTCATAGCTCTTCACATCATACTCAGCCTCATTCAATAACAGAGAGCTTTAGATTCTAAAACGAGAACGACTACGAGAACGAGATTTTCTCAATACTGAGTATTGCTCGCGCGTGAGCCTGCGTCATTTTGGCAGGAGAACGTGAAAGCCGTCGTCATTCAACTACGAGTTTTAGCGATAATGTGGTAGTAGCGGAAACGAGTTATCAAATGATACAAGTTTTATCATTTTGCAATCAGGAGAGGGTGTAACCTCCTTTAATAAAGATAACAGAGCTAACTTTTCTGGTGAATCAAAAGTACAATGAAGCTTTCCGGCGTATCTATTTTTTGAGAATATATACGCGAAAAAACTTTTAAACAAATGTCGTACTCGGAGTCGTTATCGTCCTCGAATCTAAAGGTCTCTAATTGCTAATTATCACACTAAAAATTTTCTTAACTTTAAAGGTTCTACAGTTGCTCTGAAGAGGATTATCCAATCACAACCTTTTTTGAAAACAAAAGATTCTCAAGTTTTTTGCAAACGGACGTCCAATAACATGCAAGAAATATGACCAATCTAGCTGCTAAAAAAGTTTATTTTCCTGACCTGTCCTGAAATTTCTCTCTTTTGTTATTGGAAAGATTATTGTGAAGAGCTCGAGCAAGGTTTCCTCGAGTATTCGCATTGTAGTAGATGGCAGTATGACAATACTTAAAAAAAATTCCAGTTTCATATCAAGGGCATCATCTTTTCATTTTTTCCTTCAAGCAGACTGCTTTCAGAAGTGGATTTTCATGGGTTATCTGGACCAGTTAAGTTCGATAGCACAGGTAACAGAGTACCTCTTCGCTACGATTTTAACAGCCTCTTCATAACGGACGACGGGGCTACTCAAAAGCATGAGGAGGGTTACTGGTACAACGGAAAGCTTTTTATATCGGAGCAAATCGACAAGCGCCCTCTTAAAATCCTTGTTAACGAGTATCCGCCGATGGTGATGTCTGAATCAAAGCTTCCTGGTGAAACGTGTCAGTCTATTTGGTCAAGAACCAAGCCGTGCAAAAAGACTATCAAAACTCCAGACGGAGATAAATCGATCGAACTTTGTTGCTACGGGTTTGTTATCGATGTAGTAGGGCTTGTCATGAATAAATTGGATGAATATACGGCGGAACTGCATTTCACTTTGGACGGGCAATACGGGGTATTTAACCAAGAAAATAATTCTTGGGATGGAGTTGTGTCGGAGCTTCTCGAAGGAAGAGGTGACGCAAGTTTTGATTTGTACATCAGCTCTCGCAGATCTACCGTACTCGATTTTACTGAACCATATGTACCTTCTGGCATTCGCCTTTTAGTGAAAGAAATGGAACGACAGGACAGCGATATAGTATGGCTGTCTTATTTGCGTCCTTTCACGTCTCCCGTGTGGCTAACATTGCTTGGTTCGTTAGGTGTGATGATCTTGTTTTTGTGGGGAATTGACAAGATCAGCCCTGTTAGAGGATCGAAAGAACTCTTTCATAAGAAGTCTCTGTTTGGGATCGACAACGCGATTTGTTTCGCTCTCTCTCTTGCATTTGGTCGCCCTGCAGATGAATCAAAACCCACCACGGATGGTGCTCGCTTTTCATCTGTAGCATTTGGAATGGCGATGCTGGTATTCGTGTCCACGTATTCAGCTAATCTGGCTGCGTTTCTTATTGTGAATGACAAAACCACTCCAGTGAAGGATATTTACGACTTTAAGGTAAATTAACGTCTAATACCTTCGAGCAAAATGAGTCGTGCTTGGATAATCTGGAAACGGAATAGCGGTGGCAAACTAAGCCAAAGTCTTAATAGGCCATTTTCTCCATTTTTCCTTCCTCCACTTCCCTCTACAGTCAATGATGCTTCCTTGCCAACCACTTGTCAGTGGATACATTTCACTTCTTAAAAAATGTTCGTATCTACCCCATTTTTGAATAAGAAATATAATTTTAAAGCTTATTGGGTATTTCTCAGTTACTGTTACTATTTCAAATGTTTTCGCTGACGTCATTGTTAACTGCACAAGTGTACACTCAAAGGTCATTATGACCACCTTAAAGTTTTAACTATGGCATGTGACGCCACAATGCTTCATGAGGCCATCCTTCACTCCTTGGAAGAAATGTTCTGGCATTCATACAAGAACCTTTGAAAAACGGTAGAGTTTCTTGAACAACAGTTATTTTGCATTATACCTTACCAGTCCAATTCGCCACATCATACCAGGATTCTCCTTTAATATGAACCATCAAGCCGACAAGGTTGGGAGCAATAGCCTGCGGGACAGGCGCAAAACGGGAGTGGGGAGGGAGACGGAAAAGCCGCGAAAGAAAAGGGAAAGGGAGCTTACCCTCTCTCCCAAATCCTCCCATTCCCCTTTCCCCTTTCCACACCTGCCATGGTCAAGCCAGACCAACACTTGCCGGCTTATTAGGGAGCTTAAGCAAAGGGGACAGCGACCGCAACGAGGACGGGAAAAAAGCAATAGGTTTAGATTGGCAAAACAACAACTTTGCACGTGCAAATCACGCTGTTTTGCACATTTCTTTGCTGTCGCTGCACGACTGGTTGGTAATAAACTGGTTGAAAGCCAGTGCCTTTTAATTTTGTGTTGTATTTGAATTTTTTTCGAGGACGTGAACACTGTCTAGAACTACTTTCTTTTTTAACCTTTTTTTTCAACTTGAACTTTTGTCGATACAACACTTGATTTTTCTTTTTCCTGAACGTTGATACAGTATTTTGGAATTCCATTACAAAAAAAAAAATGCCAACATTTGAGGATTTAAATGAGATGGAATAAGTGCGATAAAGTTTTAGGCAACGCGAATTTACTTTTTGAGTGACGTTCTCGTAGCCGTCGCCGTCGTTGTTGCTTAAGTTTTCTATTTACCGAAATAGGTAGTCACCCAATCCCGTCATCCTGACTCAAATTTTCCCTTAATCCCGTCATCAGGATGGTTTTTTCCGACATCCCGCTTCCCGTGCATACTTTCAATCCCGTATCTCGCTTCCCGTGCATTCTTTCAATCCCGCATCCCGCATCTCATGCATACTTTACAAAAGAATCGGTGCCCAAATTTAGAACTCTATTCCTTATTCGATTAAAATACTTAAACGTTCGTCCTTTCGTAAAAAAATAAAGGAATTATTACTAAATTTCTTGCGGTCAGAAGATGATTATGTCGAAGTCTCCCGTCTTATTAAGTTATTTAATACTTTAGGTTAGCCTCTCTTCGTAATCGTTATGTACTTGCCTTGTTTTATGTTAGTTTAAATTCTATTTACTGTATAGTAGTGTCTTCACTGTTATTTAGTCCATCTATATATAAATCTTGTTTGTAATATGTCTTCAGCTCCCCCCGCCTCGATTAGTTTATAAGCTATTTGCGGGTGGGAAAATAATGTAATTAGTTATTTTCCAATTTTCAATAAAATTTGTTGTTGTTGTTGTTACTTTCAATCCCGAATCCCGCCCTGTTATGATTTAAAATCCCGAATCCCAGCCTTCAAATAAAGTAAATCCTGCATACCGAAAATTCTATTGGGGGCAGCCTCGAAACAGACTGGAATAGCGAAACATGCAACGTCACACCTTTCTTCTCCATTTGGCGTGGGATGAAAAATGTTTTCTTTTGTTGGAAAGTAATTTTTTTGCGAAAGGTTTGAACCCAGAAGTGATTTTAAAAAAAGGTTGGTTATGATAGTGGGGGTGAACGTAGTCCCGAATAGGACCGTTGTTGTTGACAAAGACAGACGTTTCAACAACCTGTGCGGTAGTCATCGTCAGAGTCAAATGGGTTGTATCATGTCAGTGTATAGTATTAATCTCTGGTAATTGACCTGATCAGTCAATTAAGCCGCGATGTTATTGGTCGTCTGTCTGTTAAGCCGTGATGTTATTGGCTATGAAGACTTGTAATGTCATTGGTGTGTTTAATTTCGATCCGTCTATTGTCACAGCTAAACAATCGTTTATCGTTGGTCACATTGTCAGTTTTCCAGCCGTTCTCTCGTCAACAAGTCGTTTGTACGGTGCGGGTAACTGTTGACTCTGATTCAGTGGATTTTGTTCTAAGTTAATAAACGAGCTTTCTAAAGTAAGTCGTTGATAATAGTCTGTAAATAAATAAATAAATAATAATAAATAATGATTTAGAGGTAGCACATCCACAAAGTGGTTCTTCGTCTACTTGATCCCTTGTCGAATTGGAATCTGGAAATGTTGGTTTTTGAGGAGAAGGGAAAACCGGAGTACCCGGAGAAAAACCTCTTGGAGCAAAGGAGAGAATCAGCAACAAACTCAACCCACATATGGCGTCGACACGGGGATTTGAACCCGGGCCACATTGGTGGGAGGCGAGCGCTCTCACCACTGCGCCATCCCTTGCTCCCCGAGTCTGTACATTACGTAATACATATCGCACGGTCCCACTCGATTTGCACTGGTTGTCGAAACGTCAGTCACTGTCAGCAACAACAGTCATATTTAGGACTACGTTCACCTGGACGATCATACTCAACCTAATGAAGTAATTGTTTTGTTTGACAGATTGAGCGTCCTCCAGAAGGCTTCAAGTATGGTACCATTGAGGGTTCCTACATGGCAGATTACTTCAAGAATAGTAATAACACGTATTTCCGGCAAATCTGGCGCCACATGCAAAACAACAATGTTAAGAAACTTGTAGACGGGGTGAATGCTGTTTCAAACGGGTAACTTAAATTTTATACTTTTAAAATCTTTTTCTACTATTATCATAATTCAAATTTGCTTATCAACATAAAATTTGGATGCACTTGACAGATATCTCTAATTGAAAGCTCTTCTGGATAACAAATCGATCAGAATGCTCGTGAAAGAAAGCGAAGTAATAAAAAATATGTTAATAGAAAAGGAAGGAGACAAGACCAAGAGCCCCAGGTCTAGCCCATTCCATGCTTGGTGTTCGGGCCTTACCTTTAACCCACGACATCCAATTCAGCATTTCTGGCAAAAAATCATCAAGAGACGGGTACAGTTAAATTGAAGATTTCTAACTTTACAGCTGTTTCTATTTTTGTATTTACATAGGAAACTTGATGTATTTATTGCCGATGATGTTAGTCTGGAATATAAATCTATGAGCAAATGCGGGCTCAAAGTTGTTGGAGAGCCATTCGCAATGTCGGGGACATCGATTTCGGTCAAGAAAGGGAATCCATTGTTTCAACAACTCAACGAGGCTCTTCAAGCGGTAAGAGCTGAGGGACTAACGGACTTCATTCAGACGTTTTGGGTCAAAAAATATGGATCCTGCACAAGAGAAACTCCTCCAACTCAGCTGAAATTGGAGGACCTCAGTGGACTGTTTCTACAGTTGACTATAGCCATTGTTGGCTGTATACTGGGGACCATTTTTCATAGAACGTTCTACTATTTTCGAAAGAGATGGTCTTACGAGGCAGATGATCTAGACGATCCGTCGCGATTCTCTCAACTAGAGACCCTCGTATGATAGAAAAAAGGTTTCATAGTCGAGTAAAACTAGTTCTTTGCAGTTGGTCAGCGAATTGAAAATTTGTATGGGCTATCATGAAAATGCGCAGTTATGCTAGGAAAAAAACCAGATTGCTTCATCTTTCAATTCGGCGTCTCCGCTTGCTTTAAGGTCCTCCTTCTACCTCCTAGTTCATTGTCCTCCAGAGTAGCGGCTTGACCGGCCAACTGCAAAGCCGCATTTTAGAAATATTATCTCAGTCTGTCTAAAAAGTTGTGGTGGATTGAAAATTTCGGAAAACAGTAAGTTTTCGAAATTCTACTGAAGCCATCTACCAGGCAGTAATTTCACTTGTAATGTGAAATTACGAATAACTGTACCATGTGGTTAATAGAATCCAGAAGTTTATCCTGCCTTTTAGGGCGCTTTCCATTTGTTAGAAGTGGCCGGCTACACCATTGCCCTACTATTGCCGGACCAATCATTTTGTCAGCGAAATCGGCTTTTTCCAAGGCTTTTTGCTGAAACACCATCTCCGTCCCGCACTCTATTTAGGAATTCACTGATCTGGCTGGATAGTTTTGATTAATAATGAAAGTCTCATTACGACGGGAAGGGTCTGGCCGGTCAGTTCTGACAAATGGAAAGCGCCCTTAGTGTCTCAGTACAAATAATTGGACAGCGCGCTGTAAAGAGTATTATACGCAAATAGATAATTCCGAAATAACAGAGTTATAATGGAATAAAAATTATTTCATTTATTTGAGTGTTAATTTTATATTATGATTTTTTACGTACTTAACAGTCGAGCGGGAAGAAATGCAAAAGTCAACAGATCATGAAGTACTCTCAGTAATCAATCAATAAACTCTAAAATTAGCGATCAGAGAGCTGTCGAGCAAAAAAAATAAAGGTTTCGAAGCCACATTGTATCCCTTTTCCTCAATTATCCCTTTCTGAAATGATTCATTTTCGTTCATTGTTCGTGCATTACTTCGATGAAAGAGGGTCTAATGACGGAAAATGGATGAATAAGGGAGATTTTTTAAAAGTGTCTTAGTGTGGAAGGCACAAAAACCAGATAATTGAGAAAATGGCAAAAACCTGGGGAAAAAAAGTGAGCCCCCGTCCACGTGAAAAAGTCAAAAGAGATTTCTGTTTTGAGATCTAGTTGACGATTTTGTGTCACTTTTCAAACATTGTGAAGGGACAGCGTGAGTGTTCAGTCTCCTGAGTTATATCGATTACCCAAGGGATTTATAAGAGGTTAGGTTAAAAGCGAGACTAAAATAAAAACGATTGCGCCTATCATTGGAATTCGTATCTCAATCGCAGTCCACGTCAACAATTATTAATAGACGTTTTCTAAAAATTAAATCAGCTGGCATGGGTGATACGATTCGTTGAAATAATAAGCACAAATTTAAGCGTTATTCTGTTTATTCCTTTGTTACGGTATGGGCAAATAGGATCCGTGTTGCTCGAAACGGCGGAGGAATATAGTGAATATTGTGTTTTTTCTACATTGTACGATAATGCATGATTAACAACGTCAATAAAAAAGCACACACCTTGAGGCAAACCAACCTAGTCGGGACTTGAACCACGGATAACTGATTAATAAAGGAACTTCCTTTGCTCTGGCAACGCCTTTCGTGAATGAATGACGTATGCGCATGACCACCTGCATGAAAATGGCGGCCCAATCTCCAGCACCACAAATGAAAACAGGGTACTTTAGTACAAGATGCATTGATACTTATGGTGTTTTCCTTTCGCCGAAAAAAAGGATTTTTTTTATCTTAGACTTGCCCAATTTCGCGGCGGAAAGAAATCGCAAGATCAAAAGTCCAAGTTAAGATTTACCGAAGGGAATGCGAACTCTCTTTACATCAAAAGTCCATTTTTGGATATTCGCCGAAGGGAACACACCCTTAAATAAGGTAGTTCTTAGTTTTCTGTCAGTGCTTCGATTCGGAACAGACTGGCATTAAACTTTAACAAACGTCAACAGAAAGTGCTTTGAGTACTTCAGTCATTCTCTTGTAAACATAACCTCTGTCACATTAAATCTAAATCGGGTAAAATGCTGCGGTTTCTTCGATACTGTTCAATTGTACAGCATAACAAATATACATACCCAGAGAAAAATTAAAGGAGAAGGTGGGTGTTTCGGAACATACTCGCGGGCTTTTTTTACAAGCATCAAATTATAGTACGTTACATTCAATGTAAAAAAGGCATTGTTCAGGAAATCATTTTCTGAACATCATTATATTATGCGGGATTCGTTGTCATTGTGGCCCTGATAAGATGAGAGGTCGTTCAAAACTGTGTACGGTGAAACAGTTCTCTTTAATTTAAAATGAATTCTGATAAACCGAGATGAAAGTGAAACATTAAATGCTTCGAAGCTAGTTCCATGGACAACATTGCGTTTAGGCTCGACAGGTTAACCCTTTAAGTCCCGATATCCAGTTACAAATTCTTCAAACTGATCTCCACACATTTCCTTAAAGAATAGTTGAGAGAATTTGGTCTAAGATGAAAACGCTCTCCCTCTGGTAATCAATTTAGTAATTCTCATAACCTTTACACTTGACGATCTGCCGATGTTGTTAGGAGAAAATTGATGTTGGTCACTTTTGGGACCAAGAGGGATGAGTCCTAGTAGTTTCTTCGACCAAAACAGACCCTACAAAAGTGTACAGCATTAAAAGAGAAAGAAACAGTTGTTTCAGCCTTTCAGCGCGCGAGGAGAGACAGCTCTACTCGCATGTTAACCACTTTTTTGATTACTTCGATCCAGGTCTTTAACTAAAGACGTACTTATTAAATAATATTTTTTTATTAGCCTCTTTCTAGTTTATGATATGACGTTTTCCTAAAATACATTTAATTGCCAGTCAATACTCAAACAAGAAGACAATATTCACTTTAACCGAAGGATATCAATTTGTCAGTCTTACAAAGACCGTAACCACATCTATCATACCCGCGTCATTCTGGTCAAATCCTTAAGTTAACTCAATGACGTATTATATATAAATTCCGGAGGGGTTGCACCGTACAGTCCCCTGAAAGAAGGTATCGGTTCCTATGGCTTTCTAATAAACATAATGACGGTAAAGCTTTAACCATGTTTGTCTGACATAGTCATGAGTTTAAGAAAACTTTGAAGGCCTGTAAACGTTTTTCTACTGATCAAAAGAACAACAAAAACGCGACTTGACTTATTACCAAAAGCGAATATGTACAAGATTAAATGAATTATGGCATTCATAATAACCCAGATTAACTTACGGGCAGGTGAATTCCTGGTACATTTCTTTAAAAGAGTCCGCAAAAGTCTAAAAGACTGGCAGATGCAACCCCACCTTAAACCCCACAGTGTAACCCCAGGACTTGAATAAGACTCTGCTATTACACACTGGGCAATACATTTATATTGGCAGTCAGCGTGGATTCAGAACTCACATGCGGCATATGGATGCATGTAGTCAAGCGCTTTTTCGTAATAGCAGGATATCAAACGTGTCACAGGTTAGAGTTGAGAGCCCTCTTCTTCCAGTTTCTATGCATAAAAGGCTGCTGCTCATCCCTATTGCAGTCGAGAAGTCACTTTCTACAGCCGTTTTCACAACTGCAACACGTCATTGAATCGTATTCTACCTGAAGATGAAAGTTACGGTGGTGTTTGCTTTGGTGAGCTTTTTCCTTGGCTGTACTTTACAGGCCGTGATGTCCGAATACGAAATTCAGGATAAAGCGGAAGAGGAGTCGGTTCGGGAGATGGTTTCTACAGATCAAAATCTTGAAGAAGGACTAGAAGACATGGATGAAAACAATGTCGACGATGATGAGGAGGGCCATTACGAAGGTGAGCAAGACGATGATGATCAGCTGGGTAATGACAGGTTGGAAAAAAAATTCCTTCTAGAAAATATGGAGTAACCTTTTGGAGAAATATTTACCTATATTTATACAGGACTGGCCCCTTCAGCAGGACTGATAACAAAGGCGGTCATGATACACTAAAATTAAATACATCAGAATATAACCAAATATGAAAAGGCAGATAATTGAAAAATGTGACTGAAATAGTAACGTTGCAAGTTGTCGGGAGTAACTAATAGTCGTGGGTCGTGGTTACGAAGTCGTGGATCGTGCGTGCAAAGTAGTGGGGCGGGGGTGTAAAGTCGGTTGTCCCCCTAGTTCCGTGAGGTTTTGAGGGACAATCCTTTCTAGTGAGTAATATTAAATAAATAAAAATTTGCGATAGTTGAGAGCAATACAACGCCCCAGTTCTACACCAAAAGTCCAGTTCGGAAACGAGTAAGAACGATATTAAAAACAATGAAATTTAATACCCGAAACCCGAAAGTAACGTCTACTTCGAAAATTACCGCTCAACTACACTTAAGAATCGAATTGAATCCAGTGATGTAACGTTTGAAGAAGTGCTTTCGATGTACGTGAAAAGCGATTTTAAAGAGTGTTTAACGTAACATGTACCAGGAAAGAGAAAAATGTCTCCTTTTTGTGATTTTAAGCGAAAGTCAACTATCAGCCGTACCAATCATAATTACGGATCAATTTAACAAGAACGTGTGAAAATCTTTGAACTCTGGTACCGTATATACCAAGCCGTTTTAACTAAGCAACGTCAAGAGCATTTGTGATTCTATCTCGAGACTTGTCTGAACCTGAATCTGAAAGAGCTTTTTCGTTAGTTCAGTAACTACAGTAACTACACAACAGTTCAATAACTACACCAGTAGTTCAATGAGCGCACATTAGATCATTAAGCGTACACCATAGCTGCGGAAAAATAGCCACAAATACGTTAGTTTTTTTTAATATGAATATGTAGCATTAAGTAAGTGATAAGGAAGGGATTCATTTCGTTATCTCGTTCATAGAGTTATTTCAATTAACCGTGAAATAGATAGTGAACTACAACCGCATAGTATGACACTCAGATTTTATTTTTTACTTTGTTTACTAGCTTGCTTTTCATAAATTCAACATTTTCCCGCACGAGCCCCCTTTACTACCTCTGCACCCACCAAACTTAGGGGAACAAAAGTATTCGGTGATCCCCTTTCCTTGACTTATCTGATAATAATCAAACAAGAATAAATTAAAAGTTGTAGTTTACATCTCAAAATCAAACTCTAGTCCAGTGCCTTTCAGTTTTGCCAATACTTGCTCTTCAAATTTCTCATTCAGCTCTGGTGTGAAGTAATTCTTCCAATCCCCAACCAAGCCCTTCCGTAGCAGAGGTGAGTTAGTTTGTTCTGGGTGAAATGTGTAACTTGTAATATTTTTCTTCATCCCACTGAGAGTACACTGGTCGGCAATGCGATTGATGAGTTCATCTGATAAGGGCTTGTTTAAAAAATCAGCAATCATTCGAACATGAGAAGGTAAATCCTAGAAGAAGTTATTGCACTGTTTTAAATTTTAATTTTTAGACCATGTAGAACACAGCCAGCATAATAAGGAGTTTTTCCTACTAATATTATAAAGCACATATGGTGCTGCAACATCTCCTTCGTCTTTACTTTTTAAAACGGTTATTTGTGGCCTTCGACATAAGCTATCCATGTGTCCAGGCCAATAATAATTACCGAGCTAATTGCCTTGCTTTAAATTTTCTAGAATGTGTGGAATTGCTTAGGAAAGATTTAGACATTTTCTAGAATGTCTGGAATTACTTACGAAAGGTCTAGAATTGTTTAGAATGTGTTGAATTACTTAGGAAAGGTCAAATTTTGACAACTTGGCAGCACATTTGTCCAACCCATGCCAAAGAGTGCCTTGAGCTAAAAAGCTGTCTGAACTCCACTGGTATATAAAATTACCTTGTGCAAGTCTTCATACTTCAGAAACAAGACATTAGGGTCATCTTTATGGTTCCACCAGTCAAGAACATGGTCATTCCAAAAGTCCCACCCAACTAAATTGAAACATCAAAACACAAACTTTGGCCCTGTTTACACTAATGCGTTTTCAAACTATGCGTTTTCGTTGCCATCGAAAAAAATCGATCGATTCGCGTCCACACTACCGTCTTGATGCGTTTTGGACTGTTCACAGTAAAATGTTCGAAAACGATAGAACTGCACGTTGTGACGTAAGTTGAACTCTACGCACATGTTACAAACATACCCGCCTCTGATATTTTCGGTCACCGTTTTCATTTTGATGCGTTTTCGATTGTTTTCAGCCGTCTACACTGATACGATATGTATGCGTTTTCGTTTTGATCACCTTTCAAGAGCCTTTTCAAATCGATGCGTTTTCGATGTAAACGCTCCGAAAGGGGAAGGATGGCTTTGACGCATCGAAATGTGTTTTCAAACGAAAACGCATTAGTGTGGACGAGGCCTTTGACTTTCTCTCGATACAAGCTATAATATAGAACAAACGCTTGCGGGACATATATTTTGACGAATTGAAGGTAAAATTCCCTTCCAATAGAGGAAGTTAACAAGGAAGAGGAAGTTAAATTTCAAATGAGAGAAATCAACGGAAATTACTCTAGGAAAGAGGCAACAGGATCAAATTTATGAACATTTGATGTGAAAACCATAAACCCTCAAGCCATGCAGTAGACAACAACCCGCTATGCTAATGCCATATTAAACCAATAGAAATGCCCAAGTGGTCATAACAAGAACAGCGTACTGGATGAGGGCCCACTCTGGCCAGGGATGGTGGAGCTATACAGAGAGTTCCTAGCAGGTTTTCAGGATCACGTTAAGGATTGGATTTGGGGTTTTAGACGGACAGCAAAGTTGCATGGGAGACAATTCACCCATCCCTTCCTTACTGAACTCAACGCTAATAATAAGTTCTTACTTGGGCAAAATCTTGGGGTCAAGGGAGCGGTAGGAAGGCAGATTCCCAGAATCTTACACTGGCCCCCTGAATTTCCCGGTATTCGTCGCTAAAAAAGTTAGTCTCAAATGTTCTTAAATTATGTATAATTTCTGTGACAAAAAACAAATGCCGTCTACAGTGCGATGAAAGTTCTTTTCCTACGATATGATAGCCTGCGTAGAATACGTAAACTGTCTCCCGCAAGCAACGCCTGGGAAGCAGCTCTGCGATCCTTCTCATCTTTGTTCTTGACCCCATATACGGACTCAACGAATTGCCGGAAGTGTATTGCGAATTTGCTTTCAACCGATTGGCATGTCGACAGTGGCTATTTTAACAGGCCAATCATGGGGCCTATTATCAAATCATGACTCATCGCAGACTGTTCCAGGCTGAGAGATAGTCGGGTCCGCAGAACTGAGAAAGCACGAACACGAAAATAACTTCCACTTATGCGTCATCCCTACTGTCTTAGAGCCTGGAACAGGCTAGATTCGTCGCCAGTCGTCTCTCACAACCTCTGGCACGCGGGATGTGATGATGAGAAGGAGGAAAGCGCTCTCTGCTCCCGCCGTGCGCGTTACGAGGTAAGACGACTGCGGACGAGTCAGACTCAAATTCTGGTACGAAAGGCTGGCTCGCAGCACGGACTTAACCGAAGGTTTAGTTTCGTCTGTGGTACAGGTTATAACGATTTGAGTACTTACCATTTCCCTCAATAAAACACTTGGCAAAAAATTCCCACGGTCCGTTGAAACCAAAGCCAAACGCTTTCAAATGCTCCGCGAAATGATAATACGACACCGCTACATCCTTCGGGTTTCGAGCAATGTAAATGTATTTAGACATAGTCTCTTTATCTGCACTTCTAGGGGTAGTACTGTACGGAAGGTGGGTCTTCATAACACGTGGGCTTGGCATAGTTTTAAGATCAATTAGCTCTACAAGCTTTTCGTGGGTTGCAGTGACTTCAAGAAAAGGCACTCGCAAACCTTGCTTTTCACTGCTGATAGCTCCTTCATTGTAGATTTGCCAGACAATTTCTTGTACCCACGTTGTTCCTGAAATTTAAAATCATTATTACAAGTGATCGATGAGAGGAATAGTAGCTTACACACAATACAGAAGGCAGAGTTGTCGGAACAGAATGAGCGTAGCCTTCACAGCTGCGAAATTCTCAGTCTCAGGACTTTAAAAAGCTCGGCCTCTGCAACTAGAATATACCTGATTCAAAAAAACGTTGTCGCTTAAAAAGTATAAACCACGAACGATGACATGGTTTTCAAGGATTTATACGGTCATAATCTGTAAACGGATCACTGATGTGCCTTCGATACTGTAAACTTTCTGGAAAGAACGAATCAGGTGTATACACGACCTCTGTCACAATAAAATATACACGGCCACAGCCAAAACCAAACTTTAAAGCTTGCGAAAAACCGCTGGAAGGGCACTAAGACATCACGTTGGGTAGGGATTTGCCATCGAGGCCTTCAAACCCTTACCCTGTTGCAGACAAAATTCATTCATTTCGCTGCCTTTTTTAAGACAAGAGACTATTTTTCATGAACCTTGTTCATTTCATTTCTGAAACTCCTACTATAGAGCCAGATTTAAAACCAGATTGTTGGAACTACTGATGTAGACCGTGTACCGCTAACGTTCAACCCATGTTCAAGGCTATACAACGGACTCTGGGTTATGGGCTCCTGACGGACTCTGTTACCAAAACCACACCCTTTTCAGCAGCGCAATTCCGTTTAGGCCCAACAAGGGGGTACCCCCTCTAGTGAACGACTAGTTATACTTTCGACTCACACTCACCTGCTTATATACTATATGGGGTAAAATGTTAAGACCCTCAAGGTCGACTAATTAGTATTACTGTCTAATAGAAAAATATAGCGATTTTCAGCAGCTTACATCTCTGATATAAGTAAATAAGCTCAATTAGAGTGTCTTAAAGGGGTGGTAGCCTTGGCGGTTGACAGTTATTTTATAGTGGAAATTTAGTCCAAGAGTTTTAAGAAAATATTAACTTTCGTGCAAATGATTATTAACTGTTGTGTTTTGGGAGTTGTCTTAGCCTTTAAAATTTTGAAATATTTTCTGATATAAACAAGTTGTAAGGTCTTGTTGTATCTAGAGAGGGCGTTTCTGTCAACATGCATGGGAACTGGCCTGACTGGTTTTTCCATTTGAGAGATTAGAAGAAGTCCGTAAAGATCACCTGAAATAGTGAGATTTGAAATACTTTGAAACTTGCACTTTTGACGGTCGACGGTAAAAATTAAACTTTATAACCTTTTTTGACGGCTGACGGTTAAATTATAGGCCTTTTGATGGCTGCCGGTTAACCCCATTAAACAGGGGTCGTGACTAGAATGGATACTCCAAAATCAGGTATCCGCTCGGAGACTGGAACTGAATAAAATTATTTTTCGGCAAATTGCTCCGACTCTTGAGATAAGTATACAAAGACTGAAGAAGGCTGAGATGAGAATGGTTACTCCAAAATATGGATCAAAGCCTACATAGAGGTTAGTTGTTTTTGTTGACGTTCTTTGTAAGAATTTTCTTTTTGAGGAAACAGCATTATATGCACCCCTTTAACAAACTGCAAAACAACAAACAATGTCTGTTTAATTACAGTACCACTACCAATTGTGGGAGACGACTGCCGTGTAAAGCTTATTCATAGCAAAGTATCTGTTTTGGATAGCTCAGAATAAGGTGGATACTTCAGAATAAGAATGGCCAAAATATGGAAGTTTTGGCCATCTGGATTATTATTACTGAACTTCCCAATATAAAAATGATTGTTACGTTTACAAAGAGGGTACAAATACAGTCATCCATTGTGTAATTATGGCTCAGTTAATTCGAAGCTTGCTTATAAGATAGCAGCCCGGTGTAGGGGGGGGGGGAGGGGTACTCGACCAATGTTTGGGTGTAGGTGAGCCGCTGAGGGTTTGAAACCCATACCCTGTCTAGGATAACACCCTCAACTTTAGTACCCAGATAAGACAACTCCCTCAGATGGGGACAAGGTTATCAAGCACACCTGTCAACTTGTACTTACCTTATTTAGACCAGGGTGCCAAGAACAATAACATGCTTTGGGTGATGACGTACTAAATATCTGCAAACATTTGCACTAAGACGAAATCGATCATGCATGAAACACCCTGTTTATAATTACAACAGACTTGCACAAATCATGCACACTGTTTAGGGCAGACTTGCAGGAAATTGTATACCCTGTTTAGGACAGACTTGTGCCAAACTATATACCCTGTTCAGGACAGAGAGGACGAAAACCATACCCTGTCCAGCGGCACATCCCCATGTAGGCCATATAAGGGAGTACCCCCCAGGGATAGCAGACAGTTGTTGAATTTATGGCTCAACATAAACTATTTCTGTTTTCTTATATATTATGGTTGATTTTTTTTTCACTTTTAAGTGGTAAGTTGCTGTTTAGTTTAGTGTGAGAAGAATGGGTACTTTATGAGATTATAAAAACCAAAGTGACCCTCACAACCTGTGGGATACTCGGGTCAACCTTTTGGTGCGCTGGGTATCTGGCACAATAAGCCAACCAGAACCCAAATCCTTTTATAGTCTTTTCTATGACCAGAAGGCCCAATGTTAGCTACTTTTGGCAAATGTAAACTATGTGATTCCAAGTTAGTCATTTTGTATTCCTGAATCTGCTTTGTGAACCTTTGTAATTTCAAGTCACATTGAAGGTGTTGAAAATGCAGCCCCTTTATTGTCCATCCTGTCATGAAATGTTGCCCCATCCACAGGTAGGCCAAACTCTGAAGGAGTTTGTTGGACTTTGAATTTATAAGAGAATGTATGACAATAAACAAAATACGTCCTAAATTCCATTTTTTGACAAAAATAGAAATGAGAATGACTTACCTTGTGTTTTTGTTTTGTTAAGCTAAAACGGCCTGGATATACCCTACTTCAATAATTGTTATTTATTTATCAGTATTTTAGTTTTGCATTTTGTTATTAGGCAGGTATCACAAGGAAATGATTTGGTTGTTCCTTTTTAATTTAGATGATAGATAACTTTGTAGGTGATAATTATTTGTAATGCACTGAACTGGGGACCTTTCTCTGCTACCAAAAGAAAATCTTTAACTTTTAAAACAAAAGGGTCAAGGCTTCTTTGCTGAATCAAGGCACTGTATTGTGGAACACAGTACTTTTTAGAAGTACCTCCAAAGTAGCAGCTTTGTTTCCTGAAAGAATGATTATAATGGAAGCTTTATTTAATGCATGGCTAATTTCAAATTTTCAGGTGACTTTCCACCCCAGGTATAGAGGGTACATAAAAGCACATTGTGGAAGTGGAGAAAGAGTACGAGGAAAATAAAACAGAGGAAAGAATTATGGGAAAAGGAAGAAATGAAAAAATGGTTGTAGAATTGTAAACAAACAACTTTATTTTTATAAAAGTAATAAACAATTTTTTTTACACATTTTATCAAATTCTTAGAGTGGTTTGTTTGTGGTTTTGAGAATTTTATTAAACATGGTCAAGCTACCCAGACATGCAACTGAGCAGCCAACTGCTTGGCCTCAATGAAAAATTTTTTTTTTCCTGTTTTCTTTTTTCTTTTTTTCTTTTTTTTTTTTTTTCATTTTATTTGCTATTTCTCTTGAAGCCTTCTTCCATTTTCTTTATTTCTTCATTTCTTTCTCCAACTGGTTTCTCTGTTCCTCACAAGCATTTGACTGCAACACCCTCCGGACCTCCAACTCGTCCTCCTGTTACAGCTGCAACATGGATATACCTGCATGATCATTTTTATTCCATTTTAAATTTATGATAAGCTCACCATACTGAGTGAAAAACAAAAAATAGCCCATAACCAGCTTAATGCTGAAGATCTTGTCTCATCAGGAGCTCAGAAGACAATCAAGGAAATAGGTAATAGGTCACAGGGAGGGGAAGGAAAACACCTTCCCCCCCTCCCCCCTTGAGTGGAGAAAGCGGGAAGAAAAAGAAAAATAATTCATCCCAGGACCCATTTCCACAGTTTTTAACACCATGATGGTACCACTTGGCTGAGGACTGTTGTCAGAAAGTTCAGTGTTTAAGAGGGGTATGGAAGGCAGAGAGTTTTGGTGACAATGAGGCTCCTAGGATTTGAAAAAAAAAACAAAACAAAATACAAGTGCAAAAAAGCAACTATAAATAATTTGCAAAAATCCTAATATTTAGGATAAATAATTTGGATTGATACTAGAGTTCCTAGTAAATGTAAAAAGATAGCAGGTGAACATGGGCTGGCTGGCAGAGGTCAGCAGTAGATCTAGGGGAGGTCCCCTGCCCTCCATATTCTAGATCAAATTGAGGACAACAGTGCCAAGAAAATTCTTTTCTAGATTGAGCTCCTCCGTACCTTAAGGTCTGAATGAGTGGTTCCTTCCCGCCACCTTAAGGTCTGGTGAGAATCCTCCCGCCCCCCCTGCCCCACCCCTCTTCTTATCTGAAGGTTCCGATCGGCCACTGTAGGCTCCAGGTCCTATATCAGAACTATAAAGAGACACTACACTAATACAATCTGCAGGACCATTTTTTTTTTAGAAACTTGAGCTTGTAATAGTGATCACCAAGCTACAAGAAGTATGACCTGAAGTAAATTAGGGACCTGTCATTTATTAGAGGGTGGGGGCAGGGCTGGTGCAATTCTTTATCCCAGGTGAATTTTTTTTATGCCCTCCCCCAATTTCCTGCAGAAAAAAATGTAACCCTCCCCCTTGTATGGCCCAAAATAGTTATGACTCTCCCCACGCTAAAAGATATGACAGGTATTATTAAAAGAGATCAACTTTTACCTTGTGATGAAGGGAGGCCCCAATACGACATTCAGGAACAGGTATCTAAGATCACCTCATGCATTGAAGCAATATTGAGCACGAACAATCCTGGTGCTGCTGGAAAATTTTAAATGACTGATTATGTTCTTGTCCCAGCTGATTAGTTAATACTGAGGGCGAACATTATGAAGCTCAGTGAGTTACTAGAGAACATATTAGATATGGATAGACGCATTAAAGCTCACCTTAACACCCTGTTTCACTCAAAGACTGGTAATTTTATACGAGGAGAAGAGTATTCTAAATCGTTTGATGAAGCTGTTATTACAAGGCTTGATGAAGATAAAAAAAGAGTAAACAGTGAATTGAAATATCTTAATGAGAAACTTGATCAATGCAAAGACATGTTTCGCAGTGTGCTGCTCTTGAAAAACAAATCAAGAAAAAGACGTACATGTAGGGTTGTTGGGTAGTTCAGGTTGATCATTATGAAAGTTTAAAATGCTTACTGTGCAAGGGACTTGTTTGTTAAATAATATATTTTATTTGTTGATTTGTTTTTATTTTAAGTGAACAGCAATGTTTGCTAAAAATGGTATGGCCCTCCCCAAAGCCCAGCTTAAATTTTTGGTGACCCTCCCCTTTTTGGCTACATAAAATTTAATGACCCTTCCCCCAATTGCACCAGCCCTCCCCCGTCTCTAATAAATGACAGGTCCCTTAGGTGTTTTTTACTATTGTTAACACTTGGAATCAACTAACCCATAAAATTAACTGACCTTAACTGTATTTGTACCCTCTTTGTAAACGTAACAATCATGTTTGTATTGGGAAGTTCAGTAATAATAATCCAGATGGCCAAAACTTCCATATTTTGGCCATTCTTATTCTGAAGTATCCACCTTATTCTGAGCTATCCAAACAGATACTTTGCTATGAATAAGCTTTACACGACAGTCGCGGTAGTGGTACTGTAATTAAACAGACATTGTTTGCTCCTTGCACTAAATTCTTACAAAGAACGTGAAAAACAACTAACCTCTATGTAGGCTTTGATCCATATTTTGGAGTAACCATTCTCATCTTAGCCTTTTCAGTCTTTGTATACTTAGTCTTTCAACACAACAAGGTCGTAAAGAGTCGGAGCGATTTGCCGAAAAATAATTTTATTCAGTTCCAGTCTCCGAGCGGATACCTGATTTTGGAGTATCCATTCTAGTCACGACCATTAAACAGGAGCTGTGTCACGAAATTCAGCCAAATTAGGAAATTACAAAATGCCCGTTAAATTAAGAGACACACAAAAATAACCGCTTAAACTTTAAAGGAAGGTTAAAATAACATAACCGAAACAACAGATGCCATGAATGGGCAAAACTGAAGAAGACTGAAACGGACTGAAATTAGGGTTTTTGAAAACTGTTAAGCCTAACAGTTTTTCAGAGTTGATCCCTGCTGCTTGCAACTTCAAAAATAATGCTCAGGAGACATATTTGTTTGTCTCAGATCTCTGATTTTGTCATTTGCATGTAATTTATTTGCATACTTTAAGTTCCATGGCGATTGAGGGCGAGTAATCGGCAAAATTAAACAAAATGAACTGGACTGCCGTGACACAGCCCCTTTAAGACCCTTTAATTAATCAGAAAATGTCCAAGAACAAGCAAGAAACTTCTACAACTATCCGTCGATTAGTGGTGTAAAAGCTCTCCAAGGACAAAACAAATACTCTCTCTCGCTATGAATAACATAGGATCAGTATTATGGTTTCAATATATCGCTTCGGTGTGGACTGAGCTCGCTATATGTAAATGAAAACGTTGAAAGAGCAAAGCAAAGTACCAATTTCGCAGACTAGAGAAATTATGCCGTCAGTTAGAAGACAATCGTAGCGTGTGTACGCAACTGTTTTGAGCGTTCTGTCAGTTCTTTTTAGCCTGCCTTTACAAAGAACTTGGAAACAAACTGATGCGGGGTCAAATCTTCTAGAAACGAAACGTTTCAGTGCGTTTCATCACAGGATGCAAGGTTAAAAGAAATAAAGGACTCAACGTAATGTGCATGGGCCAGCAAATTGTATTGAACGTTGTCGTGACAGGAGCACCTAATTTTCTTAAAATAACTGATTTACAAAATGATGGCATCAAAAGAGGAACCAACCTGACTTAGGATAAGTCACCACGAAAACATCCTCTGGTCGAGTCTCGAACTTGGTAATATAGTCGGCTAGCCTCGCTGGATCTTTAGAGAAAAAGTGTGGAATTTTCACGCCCAAAACTTTCCACTGTTTTGGTGATGTCCATTCGCCTTCTGTCACCTGAAACGTAGGGAAAGTTGCCATGCTAGCTTGTGTCGTGTTTTGCTCGGCAAACAAGGCAACGCAAATGAGACCGGTCACGCGCACTAGTTTGTGACGTCAAGTCGATGCTGAGGGAAATTAAAAAAACAAAAAAAACAGACGCAGAAATTTCCGGTTTCAGAAGGAAGCTCGAAGGCGACATTTTCTGTGTTTTGAATGGCAAACTTTAAAATCAGCCAGACCTCAACCCATCTGGATTTTCTGAACGTGGCTGAAAAGGCATTTTCACTACTTTTCAGACTTTTTAATTAACAATTAGTTCATGCGGCAGCGTGCGTATGTCGAGATATTGAGCACGCGGGAAGTTTGGAGAGCACGAAAGAGGCGTAAGAGTTGCACGAGGCCCAGCCGAGTGCAACTCTAGCCTTTTGAGTGCTCTCCAAACTTCCCAAGTGCTCAATATCTCGACATACGCACAGCTGCAGCATGAACTAATTGTTTTATAACATTATCAAAGCGATCAATGCAGCAGTTAACTGAAAATTTTATTATTGTAGGGCGCGCTCAAAGCAGTACGCGTTAATGATTACGTGACTATATTTTTTTTCCTCACAGTTAATCTTATGTTTTTATCCTGAAACTGAGAGAAAGTGTACTCTAAAATGATTGCAAAATCCATATTTAGGTGCCGGAAAACTTTTAATTTACCGAAAAATTGTTATTGAGAGAAAACAACTTTGCAAAGAATGATCTCACGCCATAGCCCGCACAGCTCGCCGAGATGACAACAACAACAACAACACTCACCTCTTTTCCTTACTATCGGTTAACAAATTCAAACCTTTCCTCTTAAATTTCCTTATAAAACACATGGTAAACGCTTCATTGTCTATTGCTGAGTTATGGATGCACTCGGGAGACTCAGGATTGCTAAGCTCCCAACAACTCGAGGAATTACGAATAGTTTATTGACGTCATCAGCGTGCTCAATAGGAATATGAAGCACGCTCGCGCTATTGAATTTGATTAGGCGAATTTTCTAGCTATGTTATAAAACAAAATAGCGATTGCTGTTAGAGATTTTCATTGCGTGACAGTCCGTAAAAGATCAATATTTTAATAATCAAGTATCTGACGTCAGTCCACCGAAAAGAGTCCTTATTATCCCCGGGGGGGGGGGGGTATTCCCTTATAAAGGCTATATAGGCATGTGCCGCCCCATCGGGTAGGGTTTTTGCGCCGTTTTGGCCTGAAAACGGGTATACACTTTACCCATTTTTGTCTGGAATTGGGCATGGTTTTCGAGGGAACCGTCCGGGAGAGTATGAACGTATTTATTGTTTCAATTCCAAATGAGTAAGAAAGAAAGAGAAATATGCGAATTCGAAATGCATTTGAAGAACTTTTTTGTTTGCGCTCTAATCTAAGTAATGATAACATAATTTCTGCCTAAAGGCCAGGTCTGAAAACGGATATGGATTTTAGAGGTCTGGGGCCCGTTTCTCGAAAGTCCCGATAGTTAACGGGCGCGTAAAGCTGTTGTTCTTTACATACAAGATAGAAGTTTCAATAGCTTTGCATCTAAAATGATAATGAAACTATCAGTTAAAGAAACATAGTAGATCAGAGTGACCCGCGCTCTTATTCTTTTTATTTCGATTTGGATATTTGATTTCAGGCCCGAAGAGTTATCGGTACTTTGGAGAAACGGGCTCCTGGGCTGAAAACGAGTGTGAAAAATGACAATTTTTGGTCTGAAATAGGGTCAGGATTTGGAGAACCGGGCCGCACAACCCCACTAAGAATACGCAGGTGTAATTCCCAGAGTTATTATTAATCGGGTCAAGTTATTTGAATGAGAAAAATACACCTTTTATTGGAACAAAATACGAAGGAATGAAACAGAGCATCATTATCCTTAAACTATTAAAACATCTCTATTACACAAAATGGTTATTCCACGGAATATGTCTGTGCAGTGAAAACACTCATAAGTCGCTCATTTATACATTGTTAATTGAAAAGCAGAACTTTACATAACTCATTTGTCGCCAAGAATTGTAAGAAATTGCATTAACTTTATCTTGATTTAACCGTGTACTCTTGCACCGTAAACATCCACGACCTGTCATTCCAACGATAAGGAATTGTCCGTTTGAGCGAGTTCAACATGACTGGACAAGGGAAAATGTGTCTGTTGTCCGCATTCACATTTGGTGTCCAGGTTGGAATTAGAGGAAATACGAAGACTTTCTTATGGACAAAGAAAAAAAAACCTTCTTAAGAATGAAGTTCCCACAAAGGAAGCCGTTTCTCTCTCATCGTTTCCATATCCTTTGCCTACATTTGCTCCTCATCAGTGTGAAAATTGATTATAAACTGAAGGAGTGCATAAAGGGCACTTTGACCGTAGGTTTTTTTTCGCAGCCTGGTCGGGGTATACCCCCTGGTAAATGGCTGAAATTGCGGTTAAAATTCATATCCTTTCTGTTGCAAATTTTAATGGTTAACTTTATGAGCCAAAAGTTGTTGCATTCGGTAAAAAAAAGAAATTTATTACACTTCGAATTGCCCGGGGTGATTCCCAGAGGTACGCACAATTTTCCAAATTCCCTCGCCCTCCCTTCCTTAAAGTACCAAATCTCAAGGCTTGATTAAAAGTGAGGCCAAGGTAAAAAGCATATACCTCCAGCTGACAATCTGCGCTCCATTGTCGCGCCTTATCTCTAAATCAAGAGAGGATTGGTCTAAATATATCATTTCATGAATCATGTCGCTTCGCTGGAAACCGGCATTCGGGCGTGGAAAAAAGGCATACTGTTTTAGAAAAATATATTTTAAAGATAAAAGCACGGTTAGATGAATTGAGACAAACTTTGCTTTTTAAAATGTAATACTTTATTCTTATTCTTCTTATTCTTCTTCTTATTATCTTTTTATTTTATTTTTTACCTTCGCCTTTTTCAGGGACGGACGTGCTTAAGTCAGAGTAAAATATTTTAGGTGACGGCAGAGAAAGATGATGCATTTCATCTTCAATTTGACAATGTCATTAGAATCACATACGGGAAAGCTTCCTTTACGCGATCACTTCTTATGATCCTTACCGCAATAGTAACGAGTAATAGGATGAGCTGCGTAAAAAGCCACTAGGCGAAGCCCGAAAAACATCACAAGGATGCAACTGGCAAGCTGTGCTGTTCAGAACTTGCCCCACCCTACCACCATTGCGTCCTATGTTGCGTCATGACTACTGTAAGCCTTACCCTCCCGCTGAGTTTACAGTGCTCTAGACTGCAAAACAGTCGGTTTTTTTCTCAAAATCAGTAAAGAAATCGGCAAAGTGTGGCGTAAGAGTCTTACTCGCGCGAGCCTCACACGCCCTGAGAAAAAAAACCGACTGTCCGTTTTCCATATTTTTCCCCGTATTTTTAGCGTCTCTCCCCAGTCTCGCTCTCTGTTTTCAGCATCGTTCCAGACCTTTTGTTTGACTTCCGCGCGTACTTGAATACGCAAAAATACGGACTGTTTTGCAGTGTAACAGTGCTCCCATCCTCGCTCACGCAGAAAATTCAAATCTTATTGGAGAGAAGTTATCAGAATGTCGGTCGAACTTTTCTGCTCCCTGCAAACCATTGTTTCACGTTCTTACAAGGCAAGGAACGATCAAAGATAACAATACAGAGTAATACCTATTGTTCTAGAATTTAGGACTCTTTTCTTACTACGTTCCATTATTTGGCCTACACTAGCAACAGCATTTATTCCACCCAGCAGGTGGCAGTTTTCTGTGCATCGCATTATCCGCAAAACAGGTCGAATGCACTTCAGTTTTTACAACCCTCACCTGAACCCCTTCTGCCATGACGTTCTTGTCTGTTTCATAATTTTTGTTTTTTGCATTGTTTTGTTTTTATTCTTCTTCATTTTTACGCCGGTACAGTTGGCTGTCGCCCCCACTGAGCTACTGACTCGTGCTACTAAAGACTTCCATTAGAGTAGCTGCTAATTGCAAATATTTTCTTTGTTGCGGTACATTAGACTTAAAAACAGCGAATATACATTGTTTTCAATCGCGTTGTTTTCAAAGTTCAGGCTAATGATCTATAGTCATTTTTCGAGCTTTTAACTAGTTTTATGTTGATGACGGTTTGTTATTTTTCTAAGCGATCTATATCCTTTAATATGCCTCAAATTTGAAATTATTTTCTGCGTAATATCATGATATGGTTTTATAAAGTAGTAAACAAGCTGGCGAAGTCGACTAACTAATGGGCCTCCTTACAAAACCGCAAAGTTGCACTATATAGGGCTCTTTAAAATAGGCGAACACGTCATCTGATATTCATTAAATGGACTACTTATGAAACTGGTACACTGCCAAAATTACGTGTTTATATACTGACAGTTTACTGTTGAAAGTGCCATATTGTCCTCGGTCTCTACGAATGAAACTAATGTTAGAGGAAAAAATTATGCTTCATAATGGTGATTCGAATAAATTATTGATTGAACGTCTGTTTGTGTGCTTTGGGAATATTACTGACTTATTTATAGCATGTGTCAAGATCATGTCAGAGTTAAGCTTGAAATTTATTTTTATGTTTTTCGCCGTATACATCAGTATATTTGGGGAGCGTTAACTGAACATCATTTGCGAGCACCAAAAATGTGAGTAGGTTCGTTTTTTAGTTATACATGATATTTGTAAACAAGTTTGGATGCTGAAAAAATAAACGAAAATAATAAAAAAAGTGACAATAATTGAACACTAAACTGAAAGAGTAATATTTTGGTTCGTCAAGTGTCTATGTCAAATTGTATGAGTAGTGCTGAAAACTTCAAGTTGACTGTGCTAAAAAAACGACGTTTCTAAAAAATTGAGTGTTAATGGCGTACAATGAGTCAAAATATCGACGTTTCCGCCCATATAGCGTTCTCAATGTTATCAACTATCACTACTTGCATTGTAGTGAATTTATTATTTCTTAATTAATACCAACATCTTTCCAATGATTCGTAATGTGTGATATTCGTGTATTTTTTTACGGAATTAATTAATAATAATTTAAGTTTATCTTGGCTTATTTGCCTTTCAAATGAGTTTTTAAGGTTTTGCTAATAAAAAATACAGACATGCAACCGTCGGGTTAAATGTGCCTACCAGAGCTTTGTTCTCAAAATTGCTTTGCACGATGGATACAAATCTAATTTCGTTTCCTAAAAGCTTTTACAGGGTACTGCTCAGTACACGTTTTAAATAGGAGGTGAATTTATAACTAGGCAACATCCGGTAAGAGAAGAATTGTAATTAACTCTCTTCTGCGAACATAGTTATTATCACTATACCATAACGCGCCAGAGCACTGACAGCTGAGCTCAGCTGCCTATTTTGTTTTATCTTAATCGCTTGTATGATGACATTCTAGGGGCTATGAGGATAAACTAGCTAGAACCATATTCGTTGCCTCGTAAGAATTTCTTAAAGGCGATGAAACAAGGCTGACAAATGATCAGAAACTCTGCGACAATTGGAAAATGAAATGATTTTGAGGAACTTTTTAAGCCGTTCAATAAATTGGCAGTTTATTTTAACCACGAAGCGTAAAACATTCAACGCTTCGTGTTTTCAAGTATACTTTACATCTTTATACTTTTTGTTGCAGTGTGCCATCGGGCAAATGTGCCACCCGCTTGTCAAGAAAAGCCTCTGGAGGGCAGCTCTGCTCTACATCTACGGATTTATCGGTGGCTGTGTATTCGTTGTCATTGAACGAAAGCCTGAAAGCAATAGACAACTTTATTCAAGACTTGCCGGCCAATTGCGGCGTAATTTTACGACGCAATTTAACATTTCAATAAACGAAAGTGGTTTTAAATTGTTCATGGACCAGGCCTTTGATGTTGTAACTATTGGCAATAAACCCGACTGGAGTATATTTTATGGTCTAAGCTTTGCGATGACGTCACTGACAACTGTGGGTAAGCTTGGATGAATTTAGTGGAACCTCGATATAACGAAGTGCCAAGGGACGGGCATTAAACTTGTACGCTATAACGAGGTTCTGTTATATCGAGGTAATTTTCAGTATGTTTTACTGTTACTGGGGTAAAGAAAATCGTTCGTTATACCGAGGACTTCGTTATATAGAGGTTCGAGCCGGGGGATTTTCCATTTTTCCCGCCGCCACCGCCCCCTTTCCCAAGTCGCGTGCGTCTTATTGTCGCTTTGGTCGTTTTAATACGTCCCCACTGTACTATCTGAGAGCCTAGCACGGGCTACTCTCTAACAAGATCCTCCAAGATCCACCAAGATCCAAAATGTTTGTTGATTGAGTATTTTTTTTCCATTAAGGATATGGCCATATAACACCTGAAACTCCTCTTGGGCAAATATTCACCGTCATATACTGCCTCGTTGGTCTGCCCATTTGCATGATATTCCTTAAAACGCTGGGGGAAATAATTGCAAAGACTGTTAAAAGGCTCGTTCGTTTCTTTGACACAATAATCCTTGGCAAAAAAATGCCTCGCAGGCTCAAAACGAAAAGCTTTGTGTTAACATTTATGTTAATGATCTGCACTCTATGTCTTGGAGGAGTAACCCAGGTGTATCTGGAAGGCTGGACTTTTGTAGAAGGGATCTACGCATACTTTGCGACGCTTTCAACAATTGGCTACGGCGACTACATTCCTGGGTGGAAGACAGTAAGAATAGCTGATGAACAGTCAGGAATTGATAACAATATTGATTTATGGATAGGTGTATCCATCTTGGCGTTACCTAGTCTGGCAGGACTTTGTGTGGTCAGTGGAGTACTTAACTCACTCGTTGATGCTCTTGATGAGTTAAAGATTCATTTTTATGTCCGGAAAGAATGTCTCAAATGTGAAACGAAAACATCTACGAAATGTGAAGGACTGCATGAAGAGGGAAATTTGTTCATCGAGGACCCAAATAAAAGGGTTGACCAAAAAATTGGCGTCACATTGGTTGAGGAAAGGACCAGATCAGCTACCTTATGAGAGACCTTGTGGGTTCATTATCCTAAAGAATATGTAACTTCCAGGACGCATCAGCGAGATGTAGCGTAATATCATGAAAGAGTTCGGCCAACTTTTTCAGCCTGTCGATAGAGAAGGCTCGATTGACAGCTTGCTTTCATCCCTTAAAGACCTGACCTTGGAGAACGGCGGAGTGCCTGACCTGGAAGAACGACGGAGTGCCTGACTTGGGAGAATGGCGGAAATCACGCCTATCCGTCGAGTTATGGCTCTGTCAACTTTGTAAACACTATATTTTTATATCTTTCTTAGAAATATTACCTTTCTGCTAAGTTATTTTAGAGGCTGCTGTAGTGGCAGGAAAGTTATTCTTAGTGATTTGAAACATTTTTGCATGGCAATATTTAGTTAAGTCTTTTGCAGATCTTTTATAAAATTAGTAAAACTCAGGAGACCTTGGGCCCCTGTAAGGCTTCGATTCAGTATCAGGCTGGCCTGTCTATCCTGAATGTGTACTATCCCTAATTTCATGCTTTTTAGTTTCTATACTACAAGTAAAGTTGTCTTTACCCTTTTATCGGCTGTCATAGATTAACGAAACATTTATGGGAACGTTAAGCGTGCCACGAGCGCCAGATTTCAAAAGATGATTAACAATTGAAGTCAAAACAAAGACAAGAGGGTCCACTGTTCAGCAGTGTTTAGGTGGCTCACAGTTTTGACGTTTTTGCTCAAACTAACCACTACCTCAGGAAAAAAATAGTTTGACAGATATTTATCACTTTTCATAACCGCAGTGCGCAGGGGACTCGAGATTTTTTCTTCTCGCCACTAAACATTTTTTCAAGTTTTTTTCAAGGTTTGCTTTTTTGGAAATGTCTCTTAAATTACGCATGCCACTTTAAAACAAGAAGGTCCGTGGAAAAATATAAAGATGTGGTTTACATCATTAACGGTTAACGATAAATTAGAGGTGCTCTAAGATAACTTGTACCAGCGTGTACATTTCCTCCCCACATGTTGTCCTCTTTGCGTCAAATGACAGCTAAGGACGCTGACATGACGTGTTAATTGTATAATTGCAATTCGACTATTTTCAAGAAAGTTTTCAGATGCAAGATTATTAAAAAAAATAGTCATAAATTGTGAAAGATATGTTGTTCAGTTGGATGGGTAAATTTAATCACAAGCAAAGCCTTTTTTCAGGGTGAATATATCGTCGAAGGGTTTGACTGGATTGAATTCAGTCTTATGTGAAATATGGGGTTGAGCGACCTAGACACAATGGATTGCAAAGTAGGATACAGGACATAATTATTTTCAGCAATATTCGGCGCTTCATCATTTAGGTGAGTAAAAGGCATCTGAAAACAGGGGCGTTCCTGGGCATTTTCCAGCTTTAAGCCCGCTACCAGAATGTTGCTGATATACGCTTATTAATTTACACCGGTACAAGAACCTGGTTTTAAAGGGTGTAAAATAACTTTAGTTTGACCTTTAAGTTACAATCACTTTACGTAAATGTTGTAATTCCCTACTTCTATACAATATCATGATGAACGCAAAGACAAAGCTGCGTTAGCATGGCATTCTAAAATGTAAGGCCGAGGCCAACGCAGAACTCCCGGACCATCTTGTCTGTGTCGATGCTCTTGTACGTCCCTGTACGTATGTAGGAGCGTGAGCCCAGAGGACCTCTCTGCTCTTATAGTACGACTAAATGATCGTTACGGAGTTGCTGTTGACACTGGCATCGTCAAAATAATTGTGATAATAAAATTTCCCAAAAAATCTTTTAAGTCCGTGCTTAAATGGCTTACAGTCAGGTACGCCCCGGGAACACATTGAATTTCAACTTCCTTTAAGGTGAATGCCTTTTCAAAGCCTCTTATATGAAGTTATTCGAATAAAATATAAGACAATCAGCTTGGGATGTCTCCTCACATGACACCAATAAACAAAACTCTCTCCTACTTCCGGTTATATAATAATGGCTAACGTAACAGAGCTTCACACCTGCTTTAAGGACTCCAGGGCGGATATGAAAGGAAGGATTAATATTGGGACTCTTAGTATTCGACAGATCACTCAGTTATTAATATTAGTTGTTTGCCTCACTGCGACGATCATTTCTTCATTTTCATCAAGTTTGACTGTGGACAGGTTTGTAATAGTCAATTTTCTACTTTAAGGTCATCAAAGCAGCTTTTTTAATTTTAACTTTCTCTTTAAAAGGCTATATATTTTCTAGCAACCAGGAGCTAAGAGTACTCACTTACGTCATTTGTCACCGAGTTTGTTGCTGTCACGTTCACTACTGGTGAAACGGTTGGAGCAAAAAGGGTATGATTAAGTGTCATTCCGTTCTCTGGAAGATGACAGACAAGCTTGCGCAGTTATTGCACATACGCCCCCCATAGCTAGTTCATTTGGAACCGCTGGAAACTGCTAGCGGTGACTGGTAAGTGCGAAATTTGGATAAATTATTAATCAACAACATCAACCCGTTGAGAACAAATGTTTGTGCTAGAGATGAATATTACGGACTCACTTTAATATATTCTGCGTCAAGATCGCGATAGCGTGAGATTTAATGGTAGTTGTTGGTATTGCTATTGCTTGAACAAACTCCAAGAAGGTGTTAAGCGGCAAGCTAGGGGAAATACTTAAATACGTAAACAGGACGGTTAGATTTTCCGCCTAAGTTCAGTTGTACGTGAAGTTGACTGACATTCACAAAGAAGGTGCAGTTGGTGAGTTTAAATATCCAGATCATTTTCATTTTAGCGATCTCACTTACATGACGTTATTATTTGGATATTCACATCGTACGTATTTAAGTGCTATATCCGTGCGCGACTTATTGATAGTACGATTATGAAAGTGAATCTGTAAAGCGTTCCATTTCTATCATCGCGTCATGTTTTGAAAATATAAATATCTTTAAAATAAAACAGCTGAGAGCTTTCTTGCATGTCGCTTAGCATCTCACTGTGACGTATTCACTCAATACAACGTCTAATATATAAGATTCCGGATGTTGCAAAGCGATGAAGCAACGTACTAGTTATTGTATCGTCGGGTATAACACTGACAACTTCATCGATCTTATCATTCATAAATATATTTTTAAACTTCTCATCATATTGAGAATGCGGCAGTAGTTTGCCCGTACAATTAATTTTGTCGGCTTTAGTCAACATGTCAGTGAGGTGAGATAAATAACTCTAGGGATAGCGTAAGCTTACTTTCAACACCAACTTACTAGGTAAACCAACTTAGTAAACCTCTGCTGTCCATACCTGTGGAAGCAAGAATTAACTTTAAGATTCTTCTTATCACATATAAAATCTTGTATGGACAATCCGCTGGATAGATATTTGGAACCTCTGATTAAGACATATCATCTATCAAGAGCACTACGATCGTCATCTCGTTCGCTATTATGCACCCCCGCCATAAAATCTAAAACACATGGAGGACGTGCGTTCTCCACTGCAGCCCCTCAGTTATGGAACCCTATCCTAGAATATGTCAAAAATGCAGACAATGTTACCACGTTTAAAACAAAACTTAAAACATTTTTATTCAGGAAATATTTCTATTGATTTTATGCTTAACATTTTTATTTTTCTTAGTATTTTAAAGTTTACAATACTTCATGTATATGTCACACAGGCTAGACATTTTTTTTTATTTTTCTCTTTTTCTTATCACAATGTAAAGCGCATTGGGGACAGAAATGCGCTTAATAAACACCTATATTATTATTTTTATTATTATTATTATTATTAAGCTGGGTTATTGTTCCTTCTACCTTTTTGTGGATCATTAGTTATTAGTTGCAAAAAAACGGCAGTGTAGTAATATCAACCGCAAGTATAAAACAGAGCAATTTACATTCTGAAGAAGTGATGATGATAATGATGATGACAGTGATTACAATGGTAAGCTTAGGTGAACGGCGTGTGACTCCGTAGATTTGTAGGGCTGTGTGAAAACACCATGCCCTTCTTCATGTTAGCTTTCGTATATCGATTCTATGAGGTAAACATTAATTCAGGATGCTATCTTAAGAAAACGTGTAAGAGGTGTAAACTAACTAACAGGTACATGCGATTCTTTTTTTTACAAAATAGATAAAAAAAATAAGTAATTAAAGTAAGTGAGTAAGTAAGTATAAGTAAGTAAGTAAGTAAATTACAGAGAAAATTGAAAAGGAATGAAAAATGTTTTATAATTCTTTGATATTCGGATTTCAAATCAAGTGCTAACAGAAAACGATACTTTGATCAGCTTGAAACTGTTCAGCCTAACAGTTTTCAAAGTTGATCTCTGCTGTTTGCAACTTCAAAAATAATGATAATGATCAAGAGACATATTTCTTTGTCTCGAATCTCTGATTTTGTCATTTACATGTAATTTCTTTGCGTACATTAAGTTCCATAGCGATTGCGGGCGAGCAATTGGCAAAATTAAAGAAAATGAACGGCCGTGATACAGCCCTTTTAAGGGTGCTAATTGCTTTACACTTGCGGAAGGACTCTAATCTGCTGAGTTTTGATTTGGTACAATAATGGGATAGTATTTTCCAGGGAAAAATTACTTACAGGTAAACCTACTCAACCCTTGCCTCGATCCATTCTTTAAAACTTTGTCAGTGTTGTGCGTAAGCTTCTTTGAATCTTAATTACGGAATGTTTTCATTCTTGGCACAGGATAATGACAGAACGATGAATTATGGACTTGTGAAGAAAGGTCTCTGGAGAGCAATTTTGCTTTATATCTACGCGTTTTTAGGAGGTTGCATATTCTACGTAATTGAAAGAAAACCTGAGAGCAGCAGAGAGATCTATACAAGACTAACCGAACAACTTCATCAAAATTTTACGGCTAAATTCAACATTTCAATGAATCAAAGTGATTTTGAGTTATTCATGAAACAAGCATTTTTCGTCGTGAAAACAGGGAAAAGAATCGACTGGACTTTATTTTCTGGTTTGAGCTTCACAATGATGTCATTAACAACAATAGGTAGGTTTCCAAATTTTTAAACATTCACAATCACTGATTTTTGTGGCAAAAAACTTTTGCTACCATGGTCATAACTACCGTAAGTGTTCTATGTTTCTCTGTGAAGGTCTCGTCCTATGTAAATTGTGAGGGAATCCAAGACATTGTTGGATTCTGGATCAAATAGTGGACTCCTGTCTTTGGGCATGTAAGGTGGAGCTTGTATTCTGGATTCCAGTCGTAATTGGGATTCCAGATTCCCTGAGCTTCATTCCGGATTCCACTAGGAAAAATTTCCCGGATTCCGGAATCCGAGTTCGCTTACATGGGGCTGGATTATAAAACATAGCTACTTAAAATTACAGCTTTATTTATTTGACTGTCACGGTTTTTGGGTTAGATAAAACACGTGAAAAACCAGATGTCAAGGAAAGGAGAGAGAGGAGACTACAAAAAAGACGTGGTCTTACTTATAGTTTTGTAATAGTTATTAGGAATTGGCCCAGTAACGTTTTCAAAACTGCAGCCAGCAAAGGCCAATAAGCAAATCGTGAGAGGCGTCGATTGATTTCCAGCCACAAAGTCAATATTTCTACACATGCCTGCTTGGATATTCTACGGCCTATATTTGTTTCTTTTTTTCAGGTTTTGGCAACATCACGCCAGAAACTCCACTTGGACAAATAATCACCATTGTGTACTGTATCGTCGGTATTCCCATTTGCTTGGCCTTTCTAAAGACACTGGGTGAAACTATTGCCAAGGTTGTTGAAAAATTCGTACTACTTGTGGAGAGAAAGTTCTTTGGTAGGAGAAGACCCAAAAAGCTCAAGACAAAAAGCCTCTGCTTAACTTTTATCCTGATGGTATTTACTCTTTGCCTCGGCGGATTGACCCAAATATATCTTGAAGATTGGAGCTTTGTGGAAGGAATCTATGCGTTTTTTGCGATGCTTTCGACGATTGGCTATGGTGACTATATACCTTGGTGGAGTGCTCTGACAAAAGCAACTGCTGCTGAAAATAAGCGTGCTCATCTTTGGCTGATTCTTTCCGCTTTGGCGTTGCCAAGTATGGCAGGACTTTGTGTGGTCAGCGCGGTAATAAATTCTCTCGTGGATGCTCTTGATGAGCTAAAGATTCAGATTCATGTTCAAAGTAAGTGTCTCAGATGCGAAAGGAAAGCCTCTCGACACAAAGAAACTGTGACTTTCGAAAAGTCGAACAAGGATGTAAATCTGGAAAATAACTTCTTCCGAGTGCCAGTTAAGGAGAGGTTGAGATCAGCATCCATATGAGTTTCGAAGGATATGCTATTTTTGGATCATTTTTGTTTGCTAAGTTAGTTGGTTCAGAGGCTTTGACGCGATAGGCTTGGGGTCCATTCACGGTCGGACCAACAATCAGGGCCTTGAAATAACGTGGAAGCTTAAATATGAATATCAGGGGCATCCAACGGAAGTTTCTCCAAAATGCATTGAAAACACGTTTTAGGCTATCCAAAGTACTTTTAGATCACTAGGAATGTTTTATAAGTCTCGCTAATAAATTTATATCTGTTCGGTCAGTCAAGGGCAAGTCTTTTGGAAATTACAAAGGCTTCAGTATTATTTTCCCAAACATTTTAGCTGCACTTTAAAGCTTTACGAAAATTTTTGCTTCTTCGAACAGATATTTTACAGAAGACAGTCAACAGCCAACAGTTAAGGATTTTCTACGCCCCGTTTTCTTCCACGGCGTGAATAAACTCACGTGATAATGTACAAGACGCTTCATATATACTTCATATTCTGACATCAAATGACAGTAAATTACACTTACTGAGCACCCTGCAATATGAATTCTTCTGGGCATGACCCGACAAACCCCAAAACAAATTTAAATGAAGATATGATCGTCGCAGTGGTAATTGCAATTTAAGCAATTGCAAATCCCCCCCCCCCCCCCCAAAAATTCAGGACTTCAACGACTTCAACGGGATTCGAACTTACGGCCTCCTGCCATTGGTTCGAACCCCGTTGAAGCCCAGAAATTTTTTCGCGTTTATTTGCAATTGCTTAAACTGCAGTTACCACTGTGACGATCATGTATTCATTAAAATTTGTATTTCCACATTTCAAATCATATTCATACTCTGTTAAAACAAAAACAAACAAAAAGAACCAGGCCACTGTTTGAATCAGGGCAAGTCTGAATGTTTTCATCGTGAAAAGCCGAAAAGGAAAACGAAGAAATGTTGCTTTATGGAAGATGCATGCTGAGATCCCGGACAAAAATGATAGGGAAAAACTTTCCGTAATAGTTCAGCTGTTCCTAATAGAGCCTTTTTCTCTATCACTTCAAGTGCGATGGCAACGTAAAGATTTCATGTGTATTTCTCAAACATATCGGATACTGCTCCCAATGCTGCGATTACCTTTGGCACTACCATAAGTTTCTTCAGCTTTCACAGCTTTCCTAAGTTTTTCCGAAGAATTTGGGACTTCTCTTTTTTCTCTAGTTCTTTGTCTTTTACTTGTCCATCTCCAGGGTTAACGATGTCGATGATCTTGGCCTCCCTTGCCTGCTCATCAAGGAAGATGATGTCCGGCCTTCTACCTTCAACAACCCTTAACACCCTGTCCATTAACGAAATCCCGCAGTACTCTGAAACCCTCACTTTCTACCACTCGCTCTGGGGTATGTTTGTAGCAATTATTTGCCCTCTCCAGTTCGACCTTCCCACGTAGTTGCAAGTGCAGATACCGTGCCACATATATCATTGTCATGTCGCTTGCTTGCTGTATTCACTACTTAGGTTACTTTCTCCTTTCCTTCCGCACATTCTACAGATAGGTGATTTTAAGTTTTTGTCACGGTTTGGAACTTGACACAGTTAGTTATGAAGGCTTGTTCTTGTGCACTGCTCATCAATGACTCTGTACATCCCTTGAGGTCCCCCTTTCTTCCTTGATAGATAATGTTCTTGTAGTATCACTCCTGAGATGCAGCTCCTTATTCATCGTCATCACCGTCTTCGTCTTCCTGTGCATCTTTTGTAGTTCATTCTTTGTCCATCTGATCACGCCTCCACCATTTCTTAATGAGCCTCAGCCTTATCATTACTGTTATTCTGCTCATTATTACTGTTATTTATTACTTTTTTCGAAAAACACCATCTCTATTGCTCGACATTATTCTAGATTTTTACGAGCTAATAGCTATAATATCTGTTGTATCTAAAACTCAAGAACAATAGCCACCTCTAATCGCAGGCCCCCTCGGGAAAAGTAGTGCGTCTATTTGTATCTTTATTTTTCAGTTAAGTTTAAGTTCCAGAATTATTTAGTCACTTTTAAGTTTCACCTAGTGGAGTGCTCATCGTGCAGTTTTTTCCTGCGTCGGCAGAGTTTTCTTTCTCCATGGTTTACAGTGCTACACAATGTAAGTTTTAGTCCGTGTTTTAGTTTCCTTTTCGGTTTATTTTAGCGGTTTTACATTTTGTAAGTTTATTTTTTATTCTAATTTCAGTTTAAACCAACCAATCATCTATAAAGCCATTAATATTAACTTCAACGATATCCATTTTTGTTGTTGCGTTTGAATGCTGTCACATACCGTAGAGAAATAAAGTCGCCTTCGTCAGTTACAATAATGTAGAGATTTAGCCAGGACTAAAAGCTGAGCTCCCATTAATAAATTTATAATTTAAATTAAACAATAAACTTGTAATCCACTAATCAGTTAACTTAAGGGCACATTCATGTGACTTTTGAGAGAATTGAAAGGCTAAGTTATTTTAGAGTGAAACATCTTACATGGAGTTGATAGCCTTCCAAGCGATTAAAATTGCAAGAGAGACTAGTAAAAATTAATAAAAGAAATATAATTCGGTAAAACATTTACAGAGACCACAATTTTCATTCACGAAGACAGTCATTAAAGTGTCTCTAAAAATCCTGAGTCTTTAAGCTTAAAGCTTAAGCTTATGTTTTAAGCCGGTATTTGCTTTTTTCAAAGATGAACGCGAAGCAAAAAAATCGCTCAAAACTTTCTTTTACAGCCAGAATTATAACTAAATATTCTTTCGAACATTTTCTTTCTATTTGTATCAAACCTGACACTAGGTCAGATCATTGACTCAAATCTTACAGACGTACATAAACTTGCCGCATAAACTGTGCTCGACTTCATGAAATTAGATATAACAAAAACAAACATGAAATGCAATAATTACTCAGGCTTACTATTCGAGACTCAGTTCCTGAAAGCTATCAAGGAAGGCCACAGTTGCTTGAGACTTTTGAACCTTCTTACGCATTAAGCAAGGTGAAAAACGAAAACGATGCCATCCGAAATCGGATTACCGAATTTTGACAAGCGACGCATTTCTCAACCAAAAACCTAATAAACAAACCAGCCATGAATAACAGAAGACTGGTGATAGCAGCTGTATTTCATTTTGTACATCCAGCGGATCAGCCAAACGGTCTTCTTATAGCTGGATTGTGTTTCATGTCAGCGGTTCTTGATGCTCTGGTACCGTCAGGTGATACCCTGTTTTGACAGCTGTCAATTGATCACAACATTGATGTGCAATATCAGGTTGCAGGTTCCCAAACTAGCTAGAAAGTGTGACTCTAAACATTGGTCTCCCTGTGCTGTGGACAGACGGTCGCTCGCTCGCACGGTGTACGGTCACGTGATTACCAAATTTTCTGGGATGGGTAGATTTCCTTAGCTATGGGGCTCTTCGCGTCGCGGGTGGAGCTCCGCTATCAATAATTTGTTTGCTATTTTATTTGAAATGACATAGGGGTTCAGGATGCAGCTGCTTTCTTTCAGATGGCTAAAACGACGTAAGCTTTAATCTTCATTGAGTGCCATGATGTAAGCAGTTTGTATAGCCTCCAGCAGTTCTCTCTTGTAAACAGCACCTCCAAAGTTTCGCTGAATAAGGTAAGGTGTCGATTAGCATAGTTATAAGGGACATTATGCACCAAATTAATCCATTGGAGCGAGAATATCCATTGTGTTGTAGGTTTGAGAAAATTTAACATATAGATTATTCATCCTTTCTAATGTTAAACAAGAACAACACATAATTCGAAGTTGAAGGTCGCATCATTGACGGAAACATCAAAAGCCCACTGCCGAAAGTTTTCAAGGGCTGAAATGTGCACCAGAGCAAAGTGTAACATTAGGAAAGAGACAAAAGTACTTCTCCTTCGGCTATTTTTATCGATATTCTACATGGATGGAGGGGGGCTTCTTTTCATGGCGATAGAACAGGAACCTGCAAAAAAGGAGAGTGATAATATCTTTAGAAAGATTGAAATTTTGAAGAAAAATGTTACAACTAAATTCAACATGACCGAAGGACAGTTTGTAGAACTTGCCACGATGTTGCAGCTGTTGAATTGTTCCAGGATACCACAGTGGAATTATGACGAAGCAGTAAGCTTTACAATGCAACTTCTTACTACGATCGGTAAGCATATGAATTGAGATACGTTGAATCAACTTTGTCTTCTTTGTCTCTGCAGGGATAACTTAATTAAGGTGTTTCGATACAGTTTTTCAGAGGCCATACCGATATTTTTCAATCGCCTTAAAAGTGGTTTTTTTCCTTGTCCGATCGCTATAAAATTTTCACCAGTAATTGGCTATGGATTGAATTTTAAGTAAAATCGATATTACTATGACAACAATAAACAAAAAACTTTGAAATTGATAAAAGCCGAATTTTGTGTGATCTAGACCTGCTACTGAAAATCCAACACTAGGAACTTAAAGTTTGATGTTTAGCAAACAATCTCCGTAAGAAGTAAAAAATTCTGTATGTTTGAATTCGACTAAAACGTCAAAGCTTAAATTTTCAATAGCCGTGATAAATTATTTAATAAAAACGTTAGAAATGACTCAAACTATTCTTAAGTAGCGTCAGAATGGTGCGTAATACCATATTTTGATGCTAGGAAATTTTGGTGTACTTTCGTTCTTGCGATCGTGAAAACTACAACATTCACTGTTTTGACGTTATGCTAATTTTTCCAAAATAATGCGCAGTATACATACCTCCATGACTAGTACATTTTAGTTTGAATTTATTGCATCTTTTGAATGTAAAACATTGAAAGTATTTACACTGACATGTACTAGTCATGGACATATGTATTGTCCGCATTAATTTGAAAAAATTAGCATAACGTCAAAACAGTGAATGTTGTCACGCAGTTTTTTGACCGGTTCGTAGGA